GTGGGACAATTATTTGCACCATAGCATTTGCACATAAAGAAAGGTTTGCAGACCTTTGTTGTAGATATTTCAAAGATCTTCTTTCATGTTTTGCCAAAACAATTTAGTTGCTATTTGAATGTGAAAGAGATCTACCATTAGATATCAAAAATGTAGACTCAGTTGCTACCTCAAAGGTTAAGAAATCATTCTGTATATGGTGGTCTCTCACTTCCTCAGGAAATTCAGCAACACAGCCACTGAAGTGGCTTGTAGCTGTTCCAAGGCCATTAGTGTATCTGCCAGTTTTAATGAAAATTTCAACTTGTGTATCTAAAGCAATAGGAGGAAAAGTATTAGGGTTTATTTGTTCCAGTTTAATAACAAGATACCCCAAACTGAGAAAGTGTGATGATGGTATTTTTGTGCTCTCTGGACATACTGACCTACTTAAGGCAAACTGTTTTCTACCTTTACTTGATCAAAGTGTTGTATTCACAAATACAAATATATGAAATATAGAAAAATATTCCTCTGCTGAACCTAACGGTCCCTACCTGTCTATGTACAGATGTAGCGCTACCTGAGAGATTTTATGCGGAAGTAAAATGTCAGCAAGCAAGAAATGGTCTACAGGCACTGCAGGTGAGGTGGCTTAAGTGTGTTCTCCTTTATGCTCTTGTTTAAAAGGCAAGGGCAGTGACTGTGAGAATGACGGAAATTCATTCACATAATTAGCCAAGCCAAAAAACCAAATACCTTTTGTAGAAAGCAATAGAAAATGTTTATCCCAGATTGTTTTTCTTCTCTGGTTACTCACACCAGCTCTAGAGGACTGCAGCAGCCAAGTGGACTGATAGCAAAGGGTGGCAGTGGTGTTAAGTCTGCCTGACCTGTTGTTACTTTGTGAAGCCATGCACCAGAAGGTGCTTTCCCAAAAAGCATGCTCTAGCTGCCCAGACCTCACCATTTCCACATCATGCAGCACCACGGCCAAATGCTTTGCTGAGTACTGCGATACCAAGACTTGATGTCATTACAGATTTGAAGTATAGTTACACAGGACAAATAACAACAGTCTTAATAAACTTCCTCTCATGTACATTGTCTTTATACACACACCCCCTCTTGGAAGGTATTCTGTCTCCACATATTAACCAGTATGTCTTAACTGTTGTCATTGGGTGCAAATTTTCCATTACGTACACAGTCTCAGACTGGCCTGGGTAGCAGCTGTTGTGAACTTCTTGTGGCCACTTCTTGGAAGCATTTGGGAACATGGCATATTTAAGAGCAAGTGTTATCTTGCATTCTCTAGGCTATGCCTAGAATTGAGGCTATACATAAACCTAGATAAATATCAGGTTTGTCTAAAGTCAGTATTTAAATATTCCCTGCAGCTGAATCTGAACTTCAGCTTCTTGTGTACTAGCACAGAGTAACATAAAGGTTTTCTACTTAACTTCACTCTGTTGTGAAAGTGTAGTATTTGTTCAGAGTTCTGACAACACTAATAATTCACCTAGGACTAGAAGTACAAAAATGTCTAGAGAAAAGTATGTATGTTCAGTAGCTATGTTTGCAGAAATAGTGTAAAAATTACTTTGGCTAATTAATTTCATATACAGAACCTGGAGCTTAAAGAAACAGTGCTCCTAAGTCCATTCACAACAAAGCAGAGATGAGACTCCCATTCCTGGGGAGAATACAAACCACAAAAGTTAAAATAAACTCCTGCTAACCCAGAGATCTCTGTCCAAGTAATCTCAGTTAAAAAAAACCCAAACAACCAACAAACCAACTAACCAAAAGAACCCCACCCACAAATGAGGAAACAGCTGCAAATTACCCTTTCCTTTTCAGGACTGTCAGTTTTAGAGATGGCAAATTAAGTCCAGCAATTATTCATACATTTCAGACATCTAAAAGTATGTCCAGGACAGTAAGAATTACCACTTTCACCTGTTCTTCAAATGGACTGCCTTACATCAGTGGACATGAAGCGCAAAATGAACCATGTAATACAATGCTGATAACTTTATATGGACTTGTGCTATATGGATGTTTAGGTCAACAGATCTATCTGTTGGAAGCAACAGTCTCCACGCTAAGTATCGCAACGCTCCTTCAGCTTCCAGACAACATATTTGCTGAACAGCTCCCTAGCTGGCAAATACAACTTCTCAAGCCTGGACAATTACAGGCCACAAATACCATAAACTGCAGTAAGTAGCCACCTCTCTCTCACTTCCTGTTATCCTAATTCCCTGAGCCTGAATGCCCCCCTCAACCTGCATGGCAGCTACTCCCCATGCTTTTGCATCTGGCTGCCTCATTTTCTGCACACTGCTTTCCATAATCCACACAGAATGATCCAGGCTGGAAAAGACCTCAGAGATCAAGTCCAGCCTTTGACCAATCACCACCTTGGCACTAAGTGCCACATTGGAACACAACACCTTCAGGGATGGTGACTCCACCACCTCCCTGGGCAGGGAATCCATTCCAATGTTTCACGCTTTCTGTCAAGAGATCAGAATGTCTGACCTGAATCTCCACAGGCACAGCTTGAGGCCATGGTCCTTTTGTATCACTTACGTCTGGGAGAGGAGACTAACTCCCAGTTATCTACAGCCTCATTCAGGCACTTGTAGAGCAATGCAGTCACCCCTGAGCCTCCTTTTCTCCAGGCTAAACCCCCTCAGCTCCCTCTGACATCCCACATATGACTTATGCTCCAGACCCTTCCCCAGCTCCATTACCCTTCTCTGGACACAATCCAGTGCCTCAATGTCTTTCTCAAACTCACGAGCCCAAAACTGGACACAAGATTCAAGGTGTGGCTCTCCATTTCTGAGTACAGCAGAACAATCACTGAACTTGCTGGCCACACTCTCCTTGATCCAAGCCAGGCTGCCACTGGCTTTTTTGGCTACCTGGGCTCACTCCTGCTCATGTTCAACTTGTGGACCAGCATCCCCAGGTCCTTTTCTGCCAGGGAGCTTTCCAGCCATTCTGCCCCCAGCCTGTAGCACTGTCTGGGGTTGCTGTGACCCAAGTGCAGGACTTGACACTTCACCTTATTTGACCTCTGCCCATAAATCCAGCCAGTCCAGAACCTTCCTACTCTCCTGCAGATCAACACTCCCACTCATCTTGGCATCATCTGCGAGCTTGCTAAGGGTGCACTCAATCCCCTCATCCAGATCACTGATAAAGACATGGAAAGGACTGGCCCCAGTGCTGAGTCCTGGGGAACCTCTTAAGACCAGCCAACCGCTGGATGTGGCACCATTCCCCTCCAGCCTCTGGGGCCATATATCCAGACTGGTTTTCTATTCAGTGAAGAGTGCACCAGACCAAACCACAGGCCTGCCACCTTTTCCAGGAGAATGCCATGTGAAACAGTATCTATCACAGGCCTTGCTGCAGTCCAGGTAGACAAGATCCACAGCCTTTCCCTCTCTCACTAAGTGGGTTCACAGGATGAGATCAGGCAAGTCAGGCAGGACTTGCCTTTCCTAAACCCAATGCTGGTAAGGCCTGTTTCCTTGGTTTTCCTGTATGTGTGATGGCACCCAAGATAGCTGCTTCATAACCATCCTGGGCACCAAGGTCAGACCAATAGGCCTGTAGCTCCCTGGATCCTCCTTGCAGTTCCTTGTGCCTGGATGTCACACTGGCTAACCATGTTTTGAAAGAACAAAACCAAAATTAAATATACCGGTAGTTCTTTATCTTGAGATATTGGGACTTGGGTTTAGAGAGAACAATTTTCCTAACATTTCCTAATTTGTCTGGATCACCAATAAATACTGATAAATTAATCAGAGTTGAAAGATTTGGCTTCAGTGTTTCAGCTACTCTGCTTTCAATTTACTAAGAATTTTCAACTGCAATTTATGGATAAGACATCATGGATTCAACGGTATTGAGCAATAACCAGTTAGAACTTGTTTTGTCACCAATTTTTCCTGGCATATTCTATCAAACTTTTAAGATTTGTGCTGGTGTTTCTTTTAACTACTTGTTAATAGTTGCTGGTATTAACACTCAGAAAGAGCTAATGCAATTACATTTGATACACTTACCCTTCTTAAAATCATGACAAACTCTTTCGCTGGCCTTCCCTGACAATCAGGATGAAAATTTGCTGCAAGGGCTTTGTGGCTGTATTCCTTTTGCTGTGGCAACATCAACATTCAAACAGACACTTGCCAGAAAACTAAACAAAGTCAATAGTGTTTCTCTTATTCAACCATCTCACCACAACTCCAGCAAGTGACAAGGATGGCACAAGATAAAGCTGGACTACCCACCCTGCTTAGCCACCCCATATAACCACATACTGATTCTCACAGAAGACAAAGCTCCTGCAAGACAGGTAAAAGCTCACTTTATTATCCACATCCCAGTATCAAGTATTGCTTAAACTACATTCCAAAGTGACACAAGATGAAGAATGAAAGACAAGAAACCAAATTATCAGTGGACTTAACTTTTATTGAGGGGGGGAAAAAAGGGGTTTACATGTAGCTGTAGGTTTTTTCATCCATACTTCCAAAAGTTCAAAAAGGACTGGAAACAAAACTTGCTCCATCATTATTTCAATAGCAAAAAGTTCGCCATTTTTTCTTTCATGAACAGCAAATTATATAACTAATTGCTATGTTCAATAAATATTTTTACTCCTGCACCAATTAAGGGGAAATAATCAGTGAAGTACCGCAAAGACCCCAGGAATTTAACAATTTTAATTTCAACTGTTATCCACTGTGTAGCAATCCAGAAACTTTTTTCTATAAAACACACAGCCTTAATTTTGAGTGTACAAGGATCTATTCTCCCAGTCAGTCAAATACCAAACTCTGATCTAGCCCAAATAGTCTACTTTCAAAGCAACTACTTGACAAAAAAAAAAAAAAATTCTCTGGTTCATGACTATCTAAGCAAATTCATCATTACAGAAAAAAAAAAAAAAAAAAATTCTCTGGTTCATGACTATCTAAGCAAATTCATCATTACAGAAAAGACTCAAAGTCATTACATGTTTATCAAAATAACAGGTAAACATTTTAACAGAAAGATTAACAAGCTACTTGGAAATGCAAATTCATGTTAAAGTTTTCAAGTGTGTATACTACATATGACATGCAAGCTTTAAAAATATCAATGCTCTCTTCTGATTAGTCGGGAGTCCAACTGTTTTAGAAATAAAATAGGAATGACTTCCAAAATGTATCAGCACTTTGGGGTTCTCTATTTTTTTCAAGATGTCTTACTACACAAAAACTACAACAATTACAATATTTAAGAGTATTACAATAAGAAGGGATGGAAAATAGGAATACTTCAACTGAAAATATGTATATTCTAAATGAACCAAAGACTGTGAAAGAGCTGGAAGGAGGACAAGAAAGGGAAGTTGGAAGGGAAAGCAGTAGGGATACTAAAGATCTGAACTTTGTATTTAAAAATCAAGTCCTCAACTGTAACTCTTGTGATCTTCAGTAGCGCCCTGGAAAAAACAAAAGATGACACAAATTACTAATTAGACAATCATAAACTAACTGTACACATTATCTCAACTGTGCCCAGCTTTTTTGCTTTCACATTCAGAATTCCCACTGATCAATTCATATAACAATGTTTATGTCAGTCAGATTCTGTTTATTCACTTGTATTTACTTACTTGGACTATAGGAACGGGATCTTGATCGTGATCGGTATCGACTATAATAAGGCGATGGTGATCGTCTCCTTTAAAGGAAATTAAAAAAGAAACCAAACAACATCCATTATGAAAGAAGCCTTATTCACATCAATTCTACAGAACAGAACCACTTCCTTAGCACTGAAAGACTTGGCCTGCATGAATGATTTCTGCTTTATTTGACTGTGGCTTATGGTTATTTAACAAATGCTTTTATATTTCTCTATTTGATGTGTTTAAACTCTAAGATATTCCCAGACAAAGAATTTAATAAACTCTCACTAGCCTTACAAACACATGAAGTGCTTTTCCAGATGCCTACAATTCTTGTTGAACAACATTCTCTGAAACCAGATAACTTTCAAAACAGCAAGATAGTTATGAAATGTCAAGCATTAAAAATCCCATCTACAAATAATCCCTTTTTAAACAGCAGTGTATATCAGCTGTCCCTGGCTCTATATACAGCATAGAAAAATGAGTTCCTTTTTTATCTGTCCATTTGATTCCTGGGATACATGCTCTACACCTCCTTCACATAGCAAAATTAACCCCCTGCCCAACAGAAAAACCAAATTACGTAAACACTGAAGATTCTGCCTACTTCAATCCCATAAAATCTAAGGGAATACAGCTCTAACATGTAACAGGCACATATGCAGAATATTGCTACAAACTGAATAGTATGCTTTGTCATCTAACTTTCCAACAAATCCACTGATACAAAAATGAAATAAAGATAAGGTACCTGTATCTGTAGTCATATTCTTCGTATCTGTCATACCCTCTGTCATACCCCCTATCATAATATGAGTCCCGGCGACGACCTGCTCCACCGCCACCACCTCCTCCACTGCTATTAGGGGAAGAGAAAAAGCAAAAACAAAACCCCCTTTATATATCTACTCTCCATCTTGAGTTAAATTATTAGATAAATAAATATAAATTATTTTAAATCTTTTTAAAAGTGGTCTTGTAGTAAATCAGACACTTAAGACTGTATCACAAAGCTATGCAAAGAAAGTATTTAAATAAAAACCTTCACAAATTCCTAGAAAAATGAGGGATTTAATGCTAATTCCCATCAAAATCAAAGTCAAATGGGCACCTCAGTATTTCAGCAGATTAAGGATACATTAATTAATCATGCTGGATATTATTTTTTATTTACACATAATTATTTTTATAAATAAAGATATAATAAACTACAGTAGGATTTAAGAGTGTACGTGAACCACAGTACAGCATTCTTCATATTAGTAATTTCTTCAACCAGAATCCAGCATTCAGTTTATATCCACTGAACTTACTGTGTTGGCCTGCCCATGTAGATGCCTGGGGTGGGTGTATGTGCTCTTTTGGTGATTGAATAATCCACTCGAATCCTCCTGCCATCCAGCTCCATTCCATTTGCATGCTCCATCGCCTGCAGGAGAGACAAGAAACAGGGATGTGAAATCTGCAACCTACTGGTAACTATGGAAGGCTATGTACAAACACATTATTTTCCACCAGAAAAACAAGCCTGGAACTTGTCTTGTTTAGGCTGGTTACTAGTGCCCCACTGTGGCGACTGGCTCATCTCTTGTCCCCACGCCTGTCTGTCGGTGGTGTTACAGGACTGCACTGGGGCACTGAACTAATTCAACTCTCAATCCCTTCTTAAGGGAGCACAGGCTAACCACTAACACAGCCATTCTCCCTAGACTTTATCTTCTACCCATCTGAAAGGTAAACAAAAACTCAAACCAGCTTTTTCGTGGAAACTGCATCTTTCCTACCGCCGCCTCTGACCCAGAGGGGACGGGCGGATTCAAAAGCTGTGCAAAACACTGGCTTCCTGTAGGGTGCATATGGCCGGATTACTGCTCGTCGGCTGCCATTTCATGCTCTCCCAGCCTCCTGCCATCTCCCTTACAAGGACCTACTTCAGCAGAGCTTAGTAAAATGGCGGGTTCAGCCTACATGGATACCTAATTACAACCTTCCTCCCCACTCCCTCTCACAATAGCAGCTCGCTTAAGCGATACACACAAGGGTCTGCGCTCAGACGCCCGTGCCTTCAGAACTGCCCGCAGCCCCTGCATGCACTCGCTGGGTGTTCCAGCCCCAGCTTCTCCACTCTGAGAATCAATACAATGGCCTTTCACAAACTCAAACCATCAAAGCAAGTTTTTCAATGGATCACAGCGTACTTTTGAGACTTATATTCATGCAAAGTAACCTAAAAACCCAAACCTCAACAAATCCACAACACTTAATTTTAACAGCTAATGACGGACTTGAAAGGATTTTTTAAATTTAGCTTTTTGAATTTTAATAGCTTCTGTTATCTGCTACAGGATCCCTGAAATACCAACACACAACACTTACTTCTCAACACTAAGCACAGCACTTAGTCCAATACACATTATTTTAATTTTTCATGTGTGGATAAGAGACACTGATACAATCTTGAGTTAAAGATTGTATCAGTGTCCATAACCACTTAACTATTTTTTACTGCAAAAAACAACATACAACCTCAAAACACGAAGGTGCCTCTGAGAATTTTTTTTTTCTTTTTAATAATGAAACATTTATTCAAACATCTTAATTTTAACAAGAGCCTTACTAAACTTACATACAAATCATAAAGAAGATACAGAAACCTGAAATCCATATGATTTAACTGTTGTGTCCAAACTGGAGGTGACTGATGATCACAAATGTGTTTATTGAGAGCGAGTTTGTATTTTGGTAATGCTGTTTGTGTCCATACTATATCGCCACCTAGTGATTTGTGTTCCCGTACAAGAAGTAACTACATCAGACAACAGCAAAGAGCATTCCAAGTCTTTCAACATACACTCAAGTATATTTTGTGATTAAATCACATTCCTTAGCTTTAGTCTTCTAGCCGTAACACCTTTTTTTTCCCACAAGGATTATGTAAATGAAAATAAATCTGTGCATGCATCCTAGGAAAGTATGTGTGCACAAGCCTAACAATGAAGGCTGCAAATATCTGACTGAAAAATTACCTTCAATGATGAAACACATCTTTCTGGAAGTGCAGCAAGTGAAATTATAAGAAATTTTCTGCTGCATGGCATTTTCAAGTCCAGCCAACAACTTGCAGAATAATAAACTTAGCTGACAAGAAGCCACCTCAAATCCAGACCATCTGGCATGTTTGTCTTATTTGGTTAAGCCAACAAAAACCTCTTCCAGAGGAAGAGTTCTTTGACAGAGGGAGCAGTACAGAGAAGACCAATATACCAGCAAGAGAAATGAAGAACTAATTTTGAGAGTTGCCTGTTTGTTTTAGAAGTACCAGGAAATGTGTTAACATTTCAGTGGATAAAGATCATTATTACCAGACTGCGCAGAACTCCTGATATGCTGGTCATAATTTCTAATGTCCTAACAAATATTAAAACATTTTCTTTTAACAGCAATTATCAATTAAAAATTTTTAAAATAAAGAAAATCTTTACTAGATAGACAAGAACAAAAAAGCCTCTTAATAGTTCTGACTTCTTTGCCAAATGCAGGAAAGCCAAAACCTACAATTAATAGTATGGATCACTCACATTCAGTAATTAGCAACTGGAAATTCCTTCTAAAGAGGTTCCCAGATTCTCTGCACTACTCTTAACATGCACACCTCAGGTACTGAAGTACTTAAGCTGACATTATTAGGTAAGGACTGCTGCAAGATGACAAAAAGCTCTCTCTGAAAACCCACGTTCATGTAACTGATACAACAATATTTCTTTTGTATGAAGGATGTAAAAATATATAAGTGATCGTAATCACTGACATTTCTGTGCTTTAGTGAAAGTTAAAGTAGTTTACAAGAAAATTTTGGATTTTACAGTCTTATTGCATGTCATATTCAAAACAAATTTCAGTTTCCTTTTCTTGCTGGTTTTGGGTGAGCATGATTGCCATGTTAAGAATATTTGAGTGTCAAAGAGAAAAAATTGTATATTCTCTCTAACAATGCTGAAGACATTCTCAAATACTGTTTAAGATGATGAAATGAAACTTTAAAAAGAAAAAAATCAAATAATACTGGGGTTTAAGACACACAATGTCCTCTTAGGAGTCTTTAACTGTCAACAATCTATTTTTATTACAACTCAGATTATTTTCCAAATATCTGAATGCCGTTAGAAGACTTGCATGGCTTTTGCAAGAGGACAGTAAGCAAGAACACACCATTCCTACAAACATAATATTAATTCTGGTAGTAAATTCTACAGAAAACTTGGTTTTTGTAGGCTAGAATACACACCTGCATGTTTGCAGTCAGAAAACAGGACTAGGACTGGGAATGGCATAGGTTCAAACTTGGATCACATTTTTAAAGTTTTACAGTTTTAAACCTCCAGCAGACTATCCATTATAAGAAAACTGATTATCTATAAGGTGTTAGTTTGAAAAAATGAGCAGTTCCTGAACTATAGTATCATCTCCAGTGGCTCAAAAAAGTCAGACAGCATTAAATTTAAGAAATATTTCAATGTAATTTGATATTTAATGCAGTATGTAATGTTTTCTCAATGTATGACCAATTAGGTAGATAAAATAAAACAAGTTTGGAAACACAACTTTTAATTAAATGCACAAATTTACATGGGTGGTTGGTATTAGTTATCCAGACTGAAAGTCTAATTTTTTAGTAGGTTCTTGATTAACTATTTCAATAACTTTCAATCACTACAAAGTTAGCAACATACAGACTGAATATGCTTAAATAGTCAAACACAAACAGTTTATACTGTAACTTATTTTGAAAATGTCTTGTCATGATTTAAAAATAACTACATAAGGTACTACCTTTTTTTTTCCTCCCCATCACTGTAGTTTTGGGGGTTTCTTTTTTACTGGAAGTTCTTCTCTACTGCATTTAATGGCACTGATAAAAACATCATCACCACTCCATCACAAGTACAGCAAGGGATGAAAGACACAATGGACTAGATTCCCCCCTCCAGTAATCAATTACTCATTCAGTTTTGGATTTACTGAGAACAACTGAAAGAAAATTCTGAAAAAAATCTGACAGAATTATTAAAGAAATTAAGAAATTCCTCTTTTTACACTTGCTGCCAAGTGTAATTCAAATGTGTAAGTCTGCCAAGTTAAATTCAAATGTCCATTTCACTATTGAACATTCAGTTTACATTCTCTCTAGTTTGAGATTTCAATGGTAACTTTTAAATAGATACAAATATGAGCTTCAGCATTGATAGATCCTATGTATTATCTTTAAAGCATACTTTAGAACTGCAGTATTTTAGAGAACCAGAATGAAGAACTGGATGTTCTTGCAAGTATTAGCAATTTCATGGTATTTCAGAGTCTCTGGAAGTCTGTAACTTGTAATTCCAAACATTTGAGACCTTCTAGCGCTCTTTCCTGGTATATCAAGGGTTGTTTTTGATACCATGAACAATACTTAAACCATTTCTTCAAAAAGCCATGGGAGTTTTGCTCAATAATGTTGGTTCTAAGCTAATCTGAAACACAGATTGTATTTTTTTCAGGTGGAACTGATAAACTCCCTTATAATTCTGGTCTTTGGCAACTGAATGATACTGGTTTGTGTTGATGGTAATGAACAGCACTTCAGCAAATGGTTCTAGAAAGATGCCCAAAATTTTTTGAAGAACATCTAACTAGTATTAGAAAATTCCATATTGCCAACAGCTGCTGTAGCTGATGCTTCCTAGATGAGTTCCTCCTACAGACAGTACATTCACAGTAGCCTCAGTTTAAACAACTAACACTTCACAGTCTGAGCTACTGAAAAGCTGGTTTAGTAGCATATCATATCCTTGCTAACTGTAGTAAGAACCACATCCCTAGAACAGCCAGCACTTTTCACTCATGATTTTCTCAACTTACTGTTAAGCAAGACAATCAATTCCTTCCCCATCAACCTAATTTTTTTCTCATCATGGTACACAGAAGTTTGTAATCCTCTTAAATGCAGGAGGAAAATCCTTATGTGATGGGCAGATGAATATCCTCTATAATTTAGTGAAAAAATTGCAAAACAACATGACAACACTGGCTGCATGCCAGTGTTGCCAATACTGCGAACTATGTAAGAGTGTGAGAAACAAGTCTTGAACAGATGTTTACAGATATTCCCCTTTGCATGTTGCACATGCAAAGAACTTGCACACTCTGAGGACTTGGAAAAGAGTAGCCAAGACAAGACATGGCACCATCCAAGGCAAAAAAGCAATACCAAGTATTTTTAAAAAACAAACAACTTGAAATAAAAACAGCTTTACAATAAATGAAACCCACTATACCCATCCTAAAAACAGGTACATAATGACACAAGATTTTCAAACAGGCTTTGAACAAGCTGACAGACAAGAACACTGGCACAGCAAATCCTCAGGTTTCCACACAATCATTGTAATTCATCAGTTGTTTCCCAGACATCTATCAGTCCTTGACATTTATTGCCTGCTATCACATTTTGAACTTTAGTGTTCACAAGCATCTTCAGTATGGATCAAAACCTAAGAATGCAGCTGAGCGTTATTTTGCAAACACTATACCACTGCAATAAAAGACATCTGATGGAAAAGGAACCTTCTGTCTGATCATGAAATTTCATCTTAACCTCAACAGAGTTTCAAACAGAATAGAACATATTCTACAAGAAATCTCCTGGACTGGACACATGCTTTGAAAACTTCTCTTTCTTGGTCCTGCTACAGTGGAATGTCTGAAGCGACTGTGATGCTTTGGCAGCTTCTCTGTGTAGTAGTTACCAAAATCTAAGCTTCTGTTCGTCTTTACAACCAAGACGCTTATCAATAGCTAACAACAAGGCTGTTATGGTTTCGTAATCTGAAATTGTAAAACAGTTCCAGTAAAAATAAACTCTACAACTGCCCCTTCTGCATTTTTAGGCTACCGAGAAGTATCATCTTCAAGAAATGCTATTTTACATTGTCTTTGGAGTTCGAATACATCAATCTAGTTGACAACTCAAAATGTCTTTACCACCATATGGACACTGCACAACTTGGTTTCAGAATCATGACTCACAGCAACATTTAAACTAGTTCAATTCAATAACTGATCCAATTTGTAAAAGTGGTAACAGAGATGACAAAGATCCTGAGGGATTTTAGCTGCACGAGAATCCATGCACAACCAACAATGATCAATCTTTAAGTTATGACAGTTTAAACACAACTACTCACAATTAATTTGATGTAAAATTTTAGTATTACCTGTATTTCAGAGCATGCCTGCTGAGAAACTTCCCTGTGCTAGCCTTCTTGAAGGGTAATAGCAGAGATCATGAAAAAGCCTCATTTTTCTCCAGAGCTCTAGTCTCATTTAATCAATCTTTAAAAGGGTTGGAATTTGGTTCAAAATATCATCTCTTTATTTATATGTTTAGGATGCTGAAGGTTTGGGATTATGGTTACTGTTTTTTATTGGCTGGGGTTTTTAAAATTATTATTATTTTTAAGAAGAGTTAGTTACTCAGAACAGAAGTAATTCAAGTGTCATTGCTTTTATGCATACTCAGCTTTTCTGACTATCTTCCAAACACAGATTAATTACATTTCCTTCAGTGTTCTCATACAGGGCCCATCATAAAAGTTCACACCTACAGCTAGCTATCTATATGTCTGTATATACCTACATTTATATATCTCCCCTTTTTCTACACTAGCTGACACTCACTACCATCTTCAAATCTGTCCTCAACGCTCATGAAATAAGTCAAATAAACAAGTTTTTTGATTATTTCTTGCCAAAGTATTTCAGTTATTTAAATTCCAGGTGTTGGGAGAGTTTGCATCCTTTCCCCCTCTTCAGGCACCAACCCGTAGGAAAAAAGAAAAATAGGTTTAATTACATTCCAAATTATTTCAGTTCCTGCTTAAGGCCCAAATCTTTATTTCTGTATTTCTGAATGGAAGCAACATCCCTTTTTGTTTTCCTTTGCATTCCAGTTTCACAACATCTGCCAAAACAGCTTTATACTAAATAAATTACTTCATGCTATTTACATGGAACATTTTAAGAAATGCATGGTATCGCGCATGACCATTGCCTGTGGCAACCAGGAAAAAAATCTGCCTCTAAAGACATGTGAAGCTGCAAAACAGACAAGACTGGTATATGAATTTGCCAAGGAATACTGTGCAAATATTTCAATGTGAAATGTTTTACAAAACAGCTACCTTTTCAAAATCCCAACAAATTCAGTATGCAAAGAAACACAAGGCTAGAAATACAATGGCCTGCTAGAAAAGAGCAGGCCATTAAAGACAGATGGATATACAGCTATCCAACCCCATTAAGCTCTCTACCAACCTCTCCAACTGAGAGCACAGGAAAACATACAAGGGACAAAAAGGAAGTTTTGCGTCCTTTTACTTACCTCTATAACCTGCAACAACCACACATATTTACATCTACAAGACTACTCTTCCCATAAACTGATTCTCAGTTGGACCATACTAAAGTCAAACACAAGAACTAAGTATAGTTTAATCAAGTAATCCAAATACAAGTTTTTTTTTAATTTAAGTAACATCAAGTAGCATCAGAGTTCTTATTTTCCAGCTCCTGATAGGTTCCAGTGCTGTCATACTCCCTGCCTTCAATGTTATATGAACTATAAAGAGAGGAGTTGTATTTAATATCTCCTTATAAATAAACTTAGGAAATGCACACAGAATCAAACAGCATATCTGGCCAAATCTATTAATTCATAAACAAGATTAAGTTTAAGTCTGTGGCTCTGTCCCGAAGAAAGAGATGCACACAATGCAGGCTTAAAGGCATTTTTAGAGAGTGTATTTACTTTTAATAGCAACTTTATCTACAAATTTCAGTAAATGTGGTAAAGTTCATGGTATCATTACAGGGTTAAAAAAACTACTGCTTATTGTATATTGTGGTGAATCGTAACACAGACTGCTGTTCATATTCTTTGATTCTTTCCTTACAGATCAATTATACTAACAACTCAGTCTAGCCATTAATAGCTATCTGTTAAACAACCAGGAAAGCAATTGACCAAGGTACAAATCAAGACAAACCCCACTCTTTTTCAAATGTACAATGACGTGCCTAAAAGGAGAAAATGCACAGGGAATCTCCAGAATTTTCATTCAGAAAACAATGTAAAACTTTAACTTCCAAAATGTTTCAAAAATTCTTTAGACATAGAAGCCTTAAGGATTTATTTGCATTTTGAAGTAACAGACTAAAATCAAAGTCCAGCATTCATTGGCCACTTAATACAAACAGCTTATGCTCAAAATCTGCCCATGCACCTGAACACTGAATTCAAATGCTTCATTTGTTTAGAAGTGCTTGAACAAAGCATTTTAAAGCACACCTGAAAAAAGTAGCAAAACATGCATTTACCTCTTTAGAGTCATCAATTCTTTCAAAATAAACGAAAGCAAATCCTCTTGATCGTCCAGTGCGTTGATCATAAACGACATTGACACCAGTCAAAGGTCCATAACGGGAGAAGACTTCACGTAAATCTCTCTCAGTAGTGTACAAACTGAGACCAAACACTCCAAGACAGGTATTAGGATCTGGATTAGCCTGATAACACAAATGTTAAACTCCAATTAATTTTTGTTTTAAAAAAATATTAAAAATTGAATATTCTTATATCAAAAATTATCAATTATAAAAAGTTTAATCTGAAGAAATCTAAGCAGGTAATACACAGTTTAACACTTTTACCAGTTATCATTCTAATTGTAAGATCGTTTCAAAAAGCAAGTACTTTCAACAGTTTTAACTTTAGAAAAAGCTCCAAGACAAGTTCCTCATGTTGGTAAAAAATTCAGTTAATAAAATTTAGCATTCTGATTTACAGAAAAGCTACAAAACAAGAGGAATGCATGTTATTAGTATTTCATACTGAAATTACCAACAAGGGGCAGACACCACACACAAATCTGTGCTGAGAATAGGTCTACAAGCCTGAACTCCCACCTTCAGCCCTTTTGCATGGTCATCATAGGCACTATAGAGTGCACACTGCCTCCAGCTGCCCCCACTACATGTGGGCACTTGAGCTCCTAAGCACAGACAACTGAACTATAATCTAGCTTCTACTGAAACTTCCTCCACCTCAGCATTTCCTATCCAATACACTGAAAGTCAGTATTTACATTTGTAAGTTAATCTTTCCACTTGTAAACTGGATGCAAGGCACCTGATTCTTTCATCTAGAGAGCAACAAGTGTTGAAGGACGGTTCTGTGAAACTGTAATCCAAAACTATGCCTATCTCTTCAGCACAAAACTCTTCACTATCGTGATGTGAGATACTTAATAAATTTCACTTGAACTAGACAAAGCCAAATATCTAATAGTACAAGGTACAACTTCCCTTTTAGGTTCAAAATTTCTCTACATGCCAGAGAATTTGTATCTAATGCCAAATCCTCTGTAAGAATTATTTTGATCAAAATCAACATGTTTTTCAGTTAGGTGTCTGCCACCCGTGACACTAGATGCAGCAATTTAAAACACCAGCAACAAGCACAGAGATTTAATGTTTCTGCCAAAATAACAACTGGAAGTTGACACAGCTGAGATCTGTGTTTCAGGTAAGTCATCTATATATAGTAATTTATGCCTCAGCCTGCTTTGCAGCCTGATTCAAAGATTGAAAAGGTTTACATCTTCTGTCATATTTTTTTCAGCGCATTTGTTCAGGAACCCATTGTGAAAATAAGACACCTGCACTATTCATAAATCTGAAGTTCCTTTCTTTCCATTTGTCAAAGTTTGAACTTCTGTTTTAAGACATGAATATCTGCAATTTCTCACTATAGCTGAAGAGCACAAGACTCGGCAGTTTGTAATTCAAGCATTTTAATTATACACGTCTAGATATGTATTTTTTACTCCATATTTCAATCTGATAGTTCAATGGCACTGGCAGCTATACTAATTTTATTACTGGAATCCTGAAAGTATAATGAAACCTGTATTTTAGACAATTGTTTGGGTAAATTCCTCCACACACTGATACCTGTTGTCCCTTTTTAACATTCCTCTTACACTTAAATCCTATTAATTTTTCTGAGGCAAGAGAAACACTGAGATCAGTCTGCACACCCTAAGTGCCAAGTGACAACTACACCACTGGAAGGCCTAAACTGATTGTGGAGGACTAAAGGGCAGCTTCTGTATTAGGTTTTTGTACTGCCTCCCATCAACCCAGTATCAAACCCTCTCTATAAGAAAAGAACTGGCAAACTTGCTCTCCAATTTTCAACCCCAACCATTCTGTTGTTACAAAGAAGGACACTGGGAGAAATTTCAGAATGACAAGATTAGTATTTTAGATTTTGGGTAGTGTATCTATACTTCCTCTGGCTCATAGAGACACTTCTCATCTACATTTTGAAAGACTTGCTGCACCTCCTTTTCACAACTGTAATTTTTTCTAGTCTACCATGAAGATTTACATGCTACCTAATAATACAGGACCTTACTTCAAAGTAAATAAAATTAAATAACCAGAAGCATAAAATCACAAGCAACCTTCAACATATGCTCTATAAGCAAATAAACACTTGGGAATTTCCTTCTATGAATCCCTCTGGCAATCTTATCAATACATTCAGGTTGCCAGCACACACAGATGTGGTCTCAGTTTCTTAAAGGTTACAAATACTTTTTTTAACAAAAAAAAAAAAAAAAAGGAAAAAAAATAAATCAGAACAGCTCAACTTCTAGAGCTGACTGATGCCCTTGTCACCATACCTGCAAAAGAATATTTTTAAATTAAATTCTACAACTTCCCTGCCAGTTAGCTGGAGGTCCAAGAAGTAAGTGCTCAGCTGTAAGTACAGAGATTGTGCCATATATACCCCCACTCCCACCCAATTCCTGTATCCACCAGTGACAAAACAGCAGGTCAAACTCAGCCTGAGGGTAACCTGGACTACACTGATACAAGCAGCAACTGTTTTGTCGATACTCAGCCTTTTTGAACATGACATACTCTGCTGCCAGTGTGCCTTCTTCTGTTGGACATTGGAGAATGACTACGGCTCCTGCGACGACGGTATTCTGGTGTGTATGATCTGCTTCGAGAACGTCTCCTATGGGAATGAGAATGGGATCTGGAACGAGTGTAACGTCTGTGCGAATGTCTTCTGGACCTGGATCTTCGACAAAGAGAAAGCCTTTAGTCAGGTCATAGGCATATGGTTGTAATTTATTGAACTGTAAACAGTTAAATTTCTAGAGAAAAACATTTTTTTTTATGGTGTCTACAATATTAAACCTATCAAACTTCTTCTAGCTTGCACATCTAAAGATTGCATGGATCTCTAATAACCTGCTTGGAAGCACCATTTTTAACTCTTTGAGAGTACTTCTGGCATGCACTGAGGATTATATTTATAACAGTTTTCAGTAATTTCAGAGCTTAAAACTTGCATCAGCTTGGCTGCTTATCTAACGAACAACTACACGGTGGCACAGAAACTAGATACGTCACACTGTAAAGTACTGTTTTGAATGAAAAATTGAAATATCTGGCAGGACTACAGTGCTGTAATATCTACACACAAAGTTTGTCTGGGCATGAAAATTACTCCAGACAGAAAAAAAAAAAAAAAAAAAGCAAACCCCAAACATCTGCTCTATTCCTCAAACACTTCTTCACAAATGTCTTGCTTATAATAAGCTGTTTAAAACAAGTAGGTAATCATCTGGCTAAACATGGTGAGAAGAGAAACTAACATTAGTTGAACTTTGGTAATTCAGAGCACAGCAACTCTTTCAGTTGCTCTGGTATAAAGTGTATAGAGAAGATGTATTACTCATCTCTCCCAAGAACTGGGAAGGAGAAACAATGTAAGACTATTCCTCTCTCCCCTCTAATGCTACAAATGGTGGGTTTTGTTTCTCTCGTGGTTGTTAAAGAAAGATACAGTAGCTCTCCCCATTTTCATCAATATGTCGCTAAAAGGGAATAGAGAAGAGAGGTAGTTATTTATGGGATATTTAGAGAAAAAAGCCCAAGACATTTCTCTTCTGATCAGGCTCCATCAGAACTGAAACCTATAAAGCTTTACCTCCACACTTCCATACTTGGGGTAGAGAAGGACAAAGAAGACATGTACAGCATTGAAAAATGAATTTAAATCTTAAAACCCTCATAAATGAGGACCACACCCGATTTAAGACATAGTTTTTTATTATTTTTTATGCCTCCAATGAAAGAATGTCAAGAACATTCACAAACACTATTTTCCAATATTTCCAAGAGTTAGACAGCTTACTCTTTTTATCTAACCCTCATGCCTTTGCACTAGGTCTTACTTGACCTTTTTTTTTTCCCCTAAAGGAGAGGTCCACACAAGAATTCCCTCATAAACAATTTTGGGAGAAGGAAGCAGACAAAACTGAAATGCAATCAATTCTCTCTCTTCTGGAAGAGAGAAATCTACATATTTTAGTTGTGATTTCTACCTTACTATTTCTATAGTATTTTCTCTATTCACACACATGAAATAATTTCCCAGCTTTGTTCACCTATATGAGCACAAACAGGCAAATTAACATATCCCTGTTAATACATCCCAAAAAGTCTGTATTTTTTACAATGGGGAAAAGAAACATCATCAACCTACCAAAATAACAGCAGCAACACTGAGCTGACATGAATAACTTTCTGAACATACCTTGATTTTGATCTTGACCTAGAGTGAGATTCAGAATGTTTGGAAGCCCTCGATGGACTGCGAGATCCTGACCTGCTCTCTGATTTTACACGAGCAGGACTCCCAGCTGGAGACTTTGACTGGGAGCGAGACTCCTAACAAAAAAGACAGTATTAAAAATGGTATTGGTTGTGTAAATGCCTAACTCCTAACATTTAAAGTACAGTAATTCTATTATATTGATTGCTCCTGAAAAACAAATGGTTAGGCAATACCCTCCAAAACAAATTTCATTTTGCTAACCCACTGTTAATATTGTATGCTTGCCTCAAATAGGTCCCTGCTTGAACCAGATCACCAATTCTCTATTAACTAAGTAATCATGCAAATTCATCTACAACTTGATCATACAGACACTGGAACATAAACCATACATTTACTTAACCTAGGACCCATTCATTCTTCCAGATTCTTTTAATTCTACTTCACTCTTGCTTTCTACTTTTCTTCATTCTTCATTGAGTTTTTCATTTTTCATACTTCGTGTATTCTTCCCCAATTCAAACAATTCATTATAGCCTTAAAAAAAATTCAAGTGCTTCTATCTGACCAATCTTCTGTTCAATTTTTTCCCCCATTCAATTTTAATTTTCTGATCTTTAATACTTTTCATTAGCCTTCTTTTATCTTGATTTATCTTCCACATTCTTGGAAAAAACTCTTCAATTTCTTCACGAACATTAACCTTAATGGAAAAAGAACATTTAGTATATTTAAGCACGTGGGGATTATAAAACTCTGCTGGAGTTCAGATGTTATCTACCAAATTGAAAAGCCAGCAGGTAAAGTGCAAGAAACTATTTTATAAAACAACTTTAAAAAAAAATATCTTTAAAACTGTATAAGTGTCTATGTTCTAACAATAAGCTTACTGAGTTCTCAGTGTTTTACTGTATTTGCAAAGCTACCCTCCTCCCCCTGAGATTTTTTCATAAGATACATAGATACACTAAAAACTAATTAGCACAAATATATTGAAGTGTTGATATCAGTGATTCCCCCCACTAAAATAATAACTATGTGCTTCTCAGTATTAAATATCCCAAATTTTACTCCTACAGATTACTAAAACACTCAATTCAACAAAATGGCCAAAGATTTCCAGTCAAAACCTATCTATGCACATACTTACTCGCATGATACACGTACAATGGTATAAGTAACATAAATTATTATTCTTCCTACTTTTTCTTCCTCATTGTTATTCTGCTTTCCTTACATAATCCATACAAACTAAGATGTAGAACTGTACAGTTAAAGCAATCCAATAGAAGTAAAAACAGGAGGGGTTTTTTTCTTGCATGGTAAGGCACACAAGAGAAAAACTAGGAAAACAAGCAAAGAGCAGGTTAGGATTTCCTCACATTTAATAGTGTACAGCATTTCTAGGGAGCTTAGCTACAAAAACCCCTACAGAACAGTATGCTATATACATTTGTAACTTTACAAAATACTTAATGAAAAAATGCATATAAAGTTCCTCTCCCACAGGTGTTACATTTCATGTTTATTTGCATGATTTCTCCTCCTGACTGTGCCCACAATTTTTTCTCTTTCTTACTCTACCTATGTCCAGATTTGCAGTTTCTTTTGCAGTTAAAATTCTTCACTACCTTGGGCTGGCGTTCTTTTTCAAAGGATGCTCTCTTCATAATTCAAGACATGAAATTCACCAGAAATGGAACCTAAGCAGCTTCTTATTAACAACTATTGCAACAACACTACCATTCCACTTTACCTCAATAGAAAGGATAAAGGACTCATGGAGAATGTCACCTACTAGGATGATAGACCTGCCAAACTTTAATGTGAAGGCCAAATTCAAAGCTTGGTTGTGAATGGCAGACCACGTATCCCTTATGAAGATGGCTATGTACTGAGCTAACTACAGGACTTCATTGCAATAAATTATGTGCGTGCCTTTAAATATTACCAAATTCGGTGGTTTAACATTTGAAACCCACTGTTTGCAATAAAGAAAAATGTTTCTTATAACCACTAACATGATTTTTTATCACCTTGCCTCTTTGTATTCTTCAATGTCTGACAGCCTCTTAAATTCTTCTCTTTCTAACTCATCGCTTGCAACAATTGCCAGTTTCTCTGAGAACTATTTGTATTTCTCTCCCTAGTGAAAATGATCAGTAATAAAGAAAAACACTCAAAGTTACATCAGATTTAGAAAACATCCTTCAATAAAAGGACAAAGAATTCACCCTCCTCAGACACTCCTTCATAAGGATACTGCATTGTCCATGCTTTTTGCATCTGAAAGATCAATTTTTGAACAAGAACTCTAAAAACTTGAACAAAAGCAACCCCCCATCCCACCCCCAGATCCTGCACAATCTAGAAGTGTTGGGAGGGGCCAAAAATACCATGGACACAATTGCTCTCATACAATGTAGAAATTAGCTTAGTGTTCTTAGCTATTCAACTGAAGCATCTTACAATACCACCCATAGAGTCTTTAATAATATCAGCTATGACACCATATTTATATAAAATTGACAAAAGCAAACATTACATAATTTCACATAGGCTAAGTCCTTTTGAAAGTATCTGTTTAAGACCCTTATGGGCTGTACACAACTTAAGAAGTGCAGTGACAGAGGGGACCATGTAAATTCTTAGAGATTTCAAACTTCCTCAGCCAAGTAACTGTGGATGTAAATTGCAGCAGAAGAGAGATTACCTGATGGCAGTTGCACACTGTCACTGGTAAGCAACTACATCTCATCTTCTAATGCAACACACTTCACCTAGTTACAACTCCTACAATGCCTCTAAAGGAGACTAAGAGAATCACAATAACCTGCAAAAGTTTAAGGACAATGTTGAAAAAGTTCCCAATAATATTTGTATCAATAAAACTACTGGCAGGGATTAAGGGATTCAGAGCTTCAAGAAATCACAAAGAGAGATTTTAAAAGAATTTTTCTTCTCTACTTAGCACTATAATTAAACAATTAGCAGGCTGTATAATAGTCTATACATAGACTAACCCAATTGTTCTTCAAAAACTACTTATATCCATTCGGCAATACATATGACAAAAGTTTTCAACGGTCTTCATATGTCATCTTTAACGTAAGAAACCAGGAAACTCTATAACCCCAAAGTACTAAAATACCTCAATTTTATACCAGTCTTAAAGCAACATTCTCATCTTAGCTCTGTTATTACCACAGAAACTAAATATTGTGTAGGAGAAAAAAGACTAAAATTGCACTTTGGATCCTCAGCACTTTCTTATCTTTCTGTTCTAAAAATCCTTAGTCATTTAATGGCCACAGATGAGACTCAGTGTAAACTCAGCTCCTCATCCCACCAGCTTCCTACAGAACAGTACCCATCTTAATGCCTTGGCTTCATTATGCAGCTGTCCAGTCACTACTTTCACCCTTACAAACTTGTAGGCAGATAATTCACTATCCCCATGTCAAACTATCTAGATTTGCTGCCACTAGAGTCTGCAGAAAAAAGAAATAAGAGCTTTGTAATATTCTTCAGATCAGACTTCCCTTTCAAAAAAAAATCCTGCATCTGCCAGTAACACTATTCCCAGGAAACACCTCTCCCCAAAACACCAAAAAACCCACCCACACAAAAAAAACCATACACCCCACCCCCACCAATAATAATTACAAAAAAAACCCCAACTCAATTGTAACAGTGTGCTTCTTCAGAGTACGATGTAGTGGTTTCCTCAAATACACACCAGGAAGTGGGACTAATGATTCACCAGGAATTGGAACTTGGAGCCAAAATTGTAGACAAACACAAAATCTAAGGTTTGCAGCTTCACTTACTGATTCTCTGCATAAAATGCACAGCTAGAAGCATTTAAAGAGAGTACTGAAGAGTATTTTTCATCCTTGTTACCTTCCTTCACCCCAGGAAGTAACAAACCAAAGTGACATGGAAAGGATCTCTCCTCCTTGCCCATTACTCCACGATCATACAAACCCAGACACTGAACAACTATCAACAACTTTAGATGATCCGTCTGAGCCAGGCATCAGTCAGTTCACATATTTTATCCATACTGGTAAAACTGTTTAACTGATCAAAAAGTTCTACCACTCAAATTACTTTCATTTTTTAAAAAAAAAAAATCCTACTTTCCAATGTAACTACTATTTAAAAAGTATTTAAAACACTTTTATGCAGAGAATTGCAGAAGTCTTGAAAAAGTATTCTTTACATTTTCCACCCATCAAGGGAAGGTATGATAAAAAACATAGGGGGGTACCACAACAAATAAAACAAACAACTGATCAACCAACCAACCCTTTATCAAACCAACCAAAAAAACAATCCCCTCTTCTTTCACATTACTCTTCTGTCCTGAACTTGTCATGCCTTACCCTCTCACCATACAGTTTCAGAATATGACTGAAAAGGTTATAAAAATTTAGAGTGAGATGCTAACTAAAAATAATGTAAGTTTAAACTAAGCTTTCTATATCAAAGCATAGAAAATTTAAAAAAACACAAACAAACAAACATCCAAACATTAAATCACAGAAATTTCAGGTGAAATTCACTTGACCTGGGATGAAAAAAAAAAGGACAGGACAAGTGGTCTAGCAATACCATTTCCAAAAATCTTGTTAAAAACTTCTACCCAAACTAAAAAAAATAAATGAAGTTGAACTCTATTAAAAGGGGACAGAAAAATACAAGCAGTCAAAAAAGAAACATGAATTTAGAATTTTATTCAGCCCACATTTGCTGGATAAAACTGTTAAGCTAATGACATCTCACTTATGAGGACAAGACTACATTTTGGCAGGAATCTACCAACTTGCCTTGAAACTCAAAAGAGAAGTTAAATCCTTTTTGCTTCATACTGTGATCTACCACTATACTAAAAATAATTTTATCCCTTAATTAGATAATCTTCTATAAATATTACAATAGCACACATAATAAGCTTCTGTGTACAAAGTATCTTCTAAGTTGTTACCTAGAAGACATGGATATTTTAGAAGTTACTAACATAAGCAAACAATGTATTTCTCAATGATCCCACTAACAAAAAGAAAGAAAAGGCTTCAGCAGTAAACTTTTTGAAAGTTTATAAGCTCATCTCACTGAGGCTTGAAAATACACCTGTTCAGGGAGGGTCCTGTAGTCATTCCTCTACCACACACAGAAGACAGTAAAAATAATTTGTGTTCAAAAGGAGCAGTCTTCCCAGCTGACAAGGTCCATAACAATGCAGAATTTATTAAGCTTGAGTAAAACAATACAAATTAAAAATCAGACTTCCAGAAAAACTCTCCCACATTGTCATTAGACACTGCAGGGTGATCACAGCACTCTCCATGCGAATGCAGAACGCCCGAGCATTAGCATCCATTGTGCTTGTGTTTGAAAAGGTGTGGGAAGCAGCATTCCTTCCTCTCCAAAGAGGTGGCAGAGTGCCACTGCAGGAGAGGTGGAATACAATAGCAAAGCAAGGCCGACCCTGACACCGTTGGGGTTTTTTTTTGCCAAAGAAATCATCTCAAAGTTGATCAGCTAGGTATTTCCATATGCATCTAGGTATTTTACATCCAAAATTCATGAACGAAATATAAGGTACTTTCACAGCTAAACTAATCCAAAAGCCACTTGTGTACCTATGAAATATGCCTACTTCCTTCAACAGTATGGGTCACATGGAAAAGCATGCATACCTTCAAGTGTTTTATTAGCTAATACTATTTATTCCACTGTAAGATCCTAAGATCATTAGAGAATCAAAAGAGTTGCAAAATAGAATTTCTGATAAAAGGTTTTGCCTATTTAGACAAACAACACATTAATACTGGTAGAAAACTAAACTGTTAAGATAGCAGAAATTAAATGTTACCAGAAGCTCAACAGAAAAAAACTGAACAAAGTTTCAAGTTGAGCTACTGAAATGCAGGTTTGTTCAGACTCCCGTCTGTTCATTGCTCTAGGAAACATCTAAAGTTGCACCACAGATTGAACACCAGATAAATAATAGCCTATAAAAAATAACAAAAATATGAAAGGAAGAGTTGCCTGCCATCTGACAGAAATAAAAGATTAAAAAAGCCTAATTTGTCTAATCTGCTCACAAAAAGCATTCAATGGTGATAAAATACTTTGATGTTTCCAAAACCAAATCACTGGATGAGAAGCACAATTTAAAATCTTTTTAATTCTTAATGACCATAAACTTAGCTCTGTATCATCCACTGTATTTTTAACTCCACTGTCAATTTCTTTCTATTAAATCACCATGCTTGAGGAGGGGGCTTTCTTCTGTTCAACCAGCCACATTCTTAACGAAGAACTTAAGTTGAAACAAAATGACACAAAAAAAGAGCAGATGTCGATTAGCATATTTGATTAATATGTGCTTTAAAAAAAAAGGTCAATAAAGGAGTGAGTTCAAGAAGGAAAAGCTCTACAATGATTTCACACCCAATACTTTAGAAATGGTAGTTCTGAAGAGTGCAAACCAAGCAATTTAACTGAAAGTTATTTCCATAATTATTAATGGCCTGTTCATTAGTTAATATGATTTTTAAATAATAAATTAGAGGCAAAGCACATACAGTATCTTACTGTCGATAAAATTAGCATTTAAAACAATTCTGATGATACTCAACATTCACTGAAGTGCTTTTGGGACAATATGCATTTACACAGATGAAATATAAAAGGCCTAAAGCTAAAAACGCCCTTACTCCTTCGGCATTCAGTTTTTAAAAGCACATCACACTAATAAGCACTTAAACTGACAGCGGGTGGAAGAATTGAAAAGGGTACTCAGAATTCTTATTTGTGCCAAATTACACAAAAACGGGTTCTTTACAAACTTTCTTCCAGTTTCTGCAGCTCTTTCTCCCAATAAAAACTTCCGCTTTACTCTCAGGGCTCAGTGCCTGGATGTAGTAAACTGAAGCATCAGGATATTCAGTGCCTGTCAGAGTCCTATCCAATTGGGAATAGCAGTCTAAACACTACAGCCTCAAAGTTACATGTGCTTAATTTTATGCCTATGAGCACTTTCAATGGAAATGAAAAAGAAAACATTACTCTGAAATATAATTTCTTATTTCAAGAATTTTAGTACCATCACAACAAAGCAGTATTACTGAAGAAAAAGAAAGGCTTACAAGTGTTCTTCAGTAGAATCACAAAATCCTCAACTAGAAATCAAGTACCTGCCATTATGCTCAGTTATGCCATATTGATTGAGAATTTTCAGTATAAGGAGCAAAACCAAAAGAAGTTTTCCAAATGAAGACTCAACGTAAGTCAGCAGTTCTTTTCAATAGGTAAATTTTCCATCACAAAAAAAAAAAAAGAAAAAAAAAAAGAGCAACTGATGAGCAGAAGTCACAGAAGCTTCTGCTGTAAGACTTCAGACTTCATGCACTCTCAAAACATTTTACCCGTATATTTGGGAGGAGGTGGTGTGCAGAAATACTGAAAGTAGAGAGCTGGAACAGCTTTGTAACATAAACAACAGACCCGTCAAAGAGCCCAATACCAATGTTCTGACAACTAACCTAACATAATCTCTTTCCTAACAATAATCCACACTGGGAATACAGACAAGAAAATAATCCTTAAAGATAGGAATCTTGACTGCTAAGTGGGAGATTACCGTCACCTTAAAAAAAAGGAAAAAACAAACCAAGCATACTCATTGCTCAAGTTTCTGAAACTTAGTTGTTTACCCTTCAGAGCTCTATTTATTTACCCCAATACTGCTTACTACACAGCCACCTTTTGTCCAGGCAATCAACACAAGGGCAGATTTTGTTTACCTCATGCGAGGAAGCAGCAGCAGTTATTGTATAGCTAGGTAAAGAACCTGCAGCCCATGGGTTTTTTTTAATCACCACAAAAATGGCAACAATAGAAATGCAAAAGTAATTTTTGGAAGGTAATTCCATTCTTCCAATACTTATTGCTTGCTTCCCCAGACAGTAGGTACATATGTAACTGCAAGGCTGCTGTCACTGGATCATCAGAGAGAGTCACCAAGAGGATGCTCAGGTGTTCTTCTAAAGAATCTCTTAATAGGACAAACAAAAAGAAAACCTCTGCAAAATTAAAAAAAAAAAAAAGTAAATTATGATGGAGGGCACACATTTCCTTCCTGTTTCAAGCAGTTTCTAATTCCTGCTTGCCTTATCATCACTAAAAAAAAAGAAACAAAAACCACAAAAACACTGAAAATGGAAGGGACCTGTCACACGTGTACATGAAAACCCGCAGCCATCAGAGGGAAGACACAGGCCTAACGAGGTTACAAAGCCACAGCAGCTCGTTCGAAGCCTTCAGCTGCACGATCGATGACTTTCAGTGGTTTAATAACGACGGCCGGACCTCCCCAGTGGCGGGAGGGGGCTCGGCCCGAGGCAGCTCCTGAGCCAGGAGAGACCGCTCACCTCGCACAAAAGGACGCGGGGTCCCTCCTCTTTGGGGCGGGAGGAGGCCTGGAGCGGGAACGGGCAGGGCAGCGAGCCCCGGGCCCGGCGGGAAGGGAAGCCGGGCTACAGCAGCGCTGCTCGCACAGCAGCAGCCTGCGCTGGCTGGGCAGGGGCCGGCCCGCGGCACGGGGACCCGGCGCCCGCTCCCCGCCGGGGCGATGAGAGCAGGGAGCGTGTGAGGGAGAGACGAGGGCAGCGCAGAGGGACGCGGGTCGTCACCCACGGCCCAGGCAAGCCTCGGGCGCCTGAAGGAGCCATTTTAGAGACAACCTGCGCTGCCTCCACCTCCGCTAGGCCCGAGGACGCCGAGTGTCGCCACCCGCCGCCCCCGGGTCCGATCCCCGCCTCGACACGGCCCGCGCAGGGGAGGCCACTCACCCTCCCCTCGAAGTTGTTCTCCTCCACGTCGCTCATGTCGGCAGAGTCCTGGCCAAGGGGCTGGGGCGAACGGGGGACGCTAGTCCCGATTAGCAGCAATAACACCCACGGCCGCTGTTATCGCCACCGTTACCACTATTGCCGCTACTACCGGCACCGCCACCACAGCCGCCTCCCGCTCCGCCGCAAAATGGCGCCGCCGCGGCCGCTCCGTCTGCGCCCGGCACCGCGCTCGGGGCGGGACCGCCCGCCCCTCACAAAGGAGGCGACGGGCGCTGCGGGGGGACCCGCCGCGCATGCGCGCTCCCGCCGCCCGGCAGCGCGCCTCCGCCGCGCGGGAGCGAGCGCGCTGCCCCCGGCCCCGCCCCGCCCCGCCAGGTGTGCGAGTGTGGCTGCGAAATGCGGAGTACGCAAACAAATGTTCCTAAGAAAGGGTGTTCTTTGATGGCTGATATTTGTGAGCTTTCACGCCCAATGACTAAGAAGGGAGATTTAATCCCTGAAACAGGCAGCTAACGAGCAAGCGCTAAGTGATGTCTGGGCGTTAAAAAGACGAATTAGCTGTCGGTAGAATTGCCTTGCTCAGGGCTGGACATGTTTCCGTGATGTCCGACCTAGGAGGAGGTTAACAAAGCCTGGGAAGAAGGAGTTACCGCTGATAGGGGGCACAAAGAACGCAGAATTCACGAGCCACAAGGATATACGACAGAACCCCCAAGATAAGGAAGAAATTGTTAAAGACAACTTGGCGACTGTGCGGTAGCAGCTCTGACTGGGTAAAACTTAATTCCGGCAGGGGGAGACGTGTGACCAGCTCACAGACCACCGACTCAAAAGAAGAGCAAGGCTGAGCATGCAGGTCAGTTAGCATGAGAAGCGAGACAATAATTAACAAACAGAAGATAGAATGCTGATTAGTAAGAGAACGAGGTAACGTGTAGCCAATGAACGTTAGCGCCTTTGTTGCTAAAATGTATAAATCGGGAAAAGTTCTGGGAGTCATCGTGAAGGCTTTGTGGATTTCCCACTCAGCCCCCCTCTCTGCGCGGAACCATCAATAAATCAAACATCTCGACTCTTGCACACCGGCTGGAAGGAACTTACTTTCTTTGAGACAACGCGGGACAGCCCCGCACCTCTCCTGCCGCTCCACGCACAACAGCCTCCTCCTCTCCCCTACGAGAACTGCTCCTTCACGCCATGAAAATTATCAGCCTTGCTCCTGTGTCCCCTTATCCTCCACCTCTCCCAGCACATTCTCTGGGGTTCTGCTCCCGCGGTGCAAGGAAGAACATTTATTTGAATGTGTTTATGCCACCATATGAAGTTGTATGGGTCTGTGTCATCGGGGGTCTTGTGTTATGGCAAGAGGATATTTAATATGCAAGGCTGGAGGGCTGCTTTTATTGTACATACATGGAGGCAAAGTCACAGGATCCAGTCTTGCGTGCTTCCACAAAACAAAGGGCTAGCTTTTGACTTGCAATCGTGAGAATTTAATTTTAACCATGGCTTTATTAAAAGCTTTATGTGTTCTTCTCACCTCAGAAGGGTTTCCCTGATCCTGTATCCTATGCAGTTTTGGTGCTTCCTCCTCCAGTATGCACCAATTGCTACAGCAGCTGATACCTTGCAGGCATTTGGGGCCAGGTATGCAGTGCCTTAAGTCAGAAAATTTCTCGAGATGATGAAACAGCTAAACTTGCTCTGTCAGTGCAGGAAAGCACTGGGTTCCCGACAAGTGCTTTGTCCCAGTGGAGATGTCACATAAACACTGGTAGTCAGTGGTCACCGCAGCTTGAGGTTCTAAAAGAGCCTTGACATATACTCTTCTTTACAGGAATGGTTCTGTTCCTTCCTACCTGGACCATAAATGGTGTTGGTTATTTTGTGCTTCTGTTGTAAGTGGAAGGCTGGAACTGTACATGCCAGCCCTTGCTATTTTTTCTTGGTGATTCAGAAGCAAATAATTGATTGAAGAGTAAATTGTCTCTCAATGGTAAAGAAGGCAGTATTGAGAAAAAGTCTTCCTTGTCATCTAGGTCTGCAAAATATTTAATTTTTGGTAAAAGTTTCTTTCATGTCACTTACTTAAAAAGTTTCAGTCGATTTCTTAGTCAGTTCCTGTTTAATTACAAATAAATTTTCATTCCTATAATTACATGTACTTCAAGCATGCCTTATAGAGGTTTTCCAAGAAATATTAAGACACTGGTTTAATACAGCGTTAGTTTTAATGCAGTAGTAAGTATAGAGTATTCGTGATTTTGGAAAAAAATAGACTTTTGGGGGGGGAAAGAGAGGCCCAAATCAGGCCCATTCGCTAATGGGAAAGGGTATAAACAATTGGTAAGGGGTCAGAAAGAGGGAAAAATAGGAGTGGCAGTAAAGCAAGTATAAAGTTGTATGTGTTCGTTCTTATCTGCATATACAGATTATAGGATTAACTGGTTAAGCAAGGAGGCAGAAGCTATGCTAATCTCAGAGCATATTGATTAGTGTGCTGTTCTCTAGCCATTACCATTTAGCAGTTTAAACATATTAGGAGAGGAAATTCTTAGTACGTATTTGAACAGGATAGAGCAATATCTATGCAAATTAAATTTGAAAGGACCGTCTACAGATAATGATTGTCAGGAGAGGAATGAAATAACATGGCAGCAGCAATCTAATTCTGGTAGGGTTTTAAAATTTATTATTATTTTGAAAAATAATACAGAACATTGCAACGTACCTGCAATCCTGGGCTTCTAGCTACCCTTTGAAATGATACCAAGAGTATTATTACCCACAAATATAAGGACTATATAAATACTTTTAAGGTTTGATTTTCATATGTCACTGAAAAGAAACACTGTGCTTGATATTGTTTTGTGATATAGTTTTTATCACACATCTCAGATTCATCAGCTGACAAGTGCTATCACTTGCCAAGAGTTTTGTCTGTATACTTAGGTCTAGGCTACTAACCCCTCTGATGTATCAATATCCTCTTATCTAGAAGAGCATCACATTTAAATGCTGATTTTTTTTTCCTGTGTCTAACCCGTGCAGAATATGGAGGTTGAAAAGCATGGAGAAGTCATATGCCCTCTGAGGCACGCTGGAAGGGATTGAGATAAGGTGACCAGCAGGTACTTCTGAATGCTATCAACTGTGCAGCTGTTGGACGTGTTCTTTACTTTACTTTACCCTTATGTTCACCTTTCCTTAACTGATACCAGCTTCCTTCAAACACCACCTTGCAGGAGGAGCCTGGGGTGACTCTCTGGCACAGTCCTGCGCTCACAATGAATTGTATTTAGGCAATTATCACGGTGAGGGTGGTGCGGGGGAGGTTTATATACCACCCCAGCCACGAAAAGCCAGAGAATCCTTAGGATTGGAAGGGACCTCTGGAGTTCCCCTGGTCCAACCACCTGCCATGGGTCACCTAGAGCAGGTGACAGAGGAATGTGTCCAGGTGGGTTTTGAATGTCTCCAGAGTGGGAGACTCCATGACCTCCCTGGGCAGCCTGTACCAGTGCTTTGCCACCCTCAACGCAAAGAATTTATTCCTCACGTTGAAGCGGAACTTGTGTTTTAGTACACGGCCTTTGCTGGCCGTGCCCGGAGCGGGACGAGGACGAGCTCCCCTCAGCGCGGCGGGGCGCAGCGCCGGCCCCTCCCGCCGCTGGGGGGCGGGCGCGGCGCCGGGCGGGCGGGGGGCGCGTGCTGCGGCGGGGGCGGGGCTTCGGGCGCGCGGCGCGGCGCGGGCGGAAGCGGCGCGCGGGCCGGGAGGAGGCGGCGGAGGCCGCGCGCGGAGGTAGCGCGCGGCGGCCGGCGGGGGGCGCTGCGCGGGGGCGGCGCTGGGGGGGCGCCCCGGCCCCGGCCGAGCCCCAGAGCCGCGCACTGGGCCGGGGCGGCGGGAGCGTGTGGGGGTCCGTCCGTCCGTCCGTCCGTCCGTCCGTGTGTTTGCACCGGGAAGGGCTGCGGGTGGCCGCACGCTCGGGCGGGACCGGGGTGGCGCAGGGCGGCTGCGGCTGTCCCGCACGCGCGGGCGCGCACCGCGCCTGAGCGCCCGCGTGGGCCCGCCCCTCCTCCGGGAGCGGCGGACGGGCTCGCCTCGCTCCGCGCTTCCTGCCCGGCGCGGCCCCGTCCCGGCGCTGGCGCTGCGGGCCCCGCCGAGGTGAGTTGTGCTCGCTCGGGCATCCTTCGGCCGTGATGCAGCGTCCTTGGGTGGGGAGGAAGCGGTGGAGCGAGCGGGGCTTTTCTGGTGTCCTTCGCCGCTAGCAGTGGTCTTCCAGTCTTAAGCTATGACTGCAGTGACTCTGCAAGATCGATACCTCCTGCTGTAAGGACATAACTTCCAAAGAGGTAAAGCATGATTAGAGTGATGCGCTGGAACTCGCAAGAAGGAAAAAAAAAAAAATATTCAGGCAAAGGCAGGATCCTTAACAATGTCAGGTTAAGTGATCTTCCGGCACTAGCAAGTCTGCATAAAAAACCCCAAAACAAACGGGTAAATATTTCACTGAAATTGGTCTCGTTGGTAGTATTGAAGAAACAGGAAAAAGTAATACTGAATGAAGTCTGCAAGATTTGAAACATTCAGTTTCAGGAGATTGTAATATATGGAGTTTTTTGACTGCGAGAATTGCAGAACAGCGCTTCCTTCTTACAATATAATAAAATTGCTTTTATTTGTAACATCTGATGATGCTTTGACTGCACTTACCTTTGATTTTGGTAAACATGAATAACGTACTATTATGTCTACCTTATTTTGGTAGCTCTGTTCACCATTCATTATTAATAAACTCTCTTTTCGGTTCCCTAACCTAACATGGTAGCATCCTGTAAATTTTCTTTTATGTCTCTTGTCATCTAAAAGATACTGACAAGTGGAGTGCGGTGTAATTTCTGTGTTTGTTTGCCATAAAACAAGGAAAGATAATTTTTGTTCTATACTATGACATGATGTGAGTTTCCTCAGAACAGTTCAGAATGGGCTAACTAGTTCTTTTTGATTGCTGTTTTTTTTTTGGGGGGGGGGTGTTGTTGTTTTTCCTCCCAGTGGGTGAACTATGAGCAGACAGATGTGTTTTTTCACTGTTAAAAGTGATCTTTTTAGGATTTGCAACATTTTATTTTAAGAGGACCCTGAGAATGTGAACATGATGTATATCCTAGTGTGCATGTGATTTGTGCTAACTGTAACATAGTGTTAATTTTGGAACAAATGTAATGAATTGCTGTTTTACTCTCGTGAGACTATCAGAGGAAGGAGACAATATGAAGATTATATTAGATTGTGAGTAGCATCTGCTGGTAGTGTCACAAGCAGAGTGATTGCAGTTTTAGACCAAATGTAGAAATTTATTGTTATTTTTGTTCCTGTTTTTACCTGTTTTTACTTTATACTCATGCTTATAAAGCTTAAGTTATTCTAGCCTCTGTTTGCTATTTTAGGTGTCAAAACTGCAGCTGTTTAATAGGTACTGGAGAGCTCCAGAGAATTAAGCAATTATGCTGGAATTCCTTTGGTCCTTTTCCTGAAGGTTTTTGCAGTTGGAAATAAAGATACTTCATTGCCTCCCTCTCCCCCCACCCCCCAGCTTTTTCTTTTTAAAGCTTTTGTAGTATCTGCTTTTAGAGTCTCCTTTTGGCTGTTATCTCCTTGAAGGAGGCATTAGTATCAGTTAATCCCAAATTGTGATGTATCTTGGGGATTGGATGTCATTTAGCTGCTAAAAGTAAGATATTTCCCCTGGAGTTCATGGTCACTTGTACCTTTTCCGAGAATAGTAAAGGGGACTTGTTCTTGCATCTTGCCTAAATGCCTGTAAGTAGGATAAATGCATGCTGTCAGCTGAAATTGTCAGCTGTGTTGTCAATGTATCTGAAAACTAGTAAGTGTCAAAAATAACCATTTTCCAGTAGCTGTCAAAAATCTGTGAGGCTCAGTCACTCAAATGAATCTGCTTTTCCTGGTACAAGTTTACTGATAAAACGTATTTTTTATGCTCTTTGTTTTTTAACAACCTCTTTCACATGTGATTTATAATTTGTGGCATTTTATGGGTTTTCTCAGCTGAGCATTATTAATAACAGCCTCTTATATTTTCTTCTATGGTTGACTCAAAAAATTTACAAATTTTATGAAAAAATAGATATATTAACATTTGCATATGTAATTTAGAAGATTAATTTTGGGTTGCTCAGAACTGAATGTGTGCTTTGCCCATGTAAAATAGGGCCTGAACTAGAGGCATAGATAAAGCAATGTAAACCTTATTCCAGTGAAATTGGTTTCTTCCATAATACGAATGAAATAGGGGGCTACCATGTTATAAATAATCCAGTTAAATTTCTGGTCACCTTTTCCTTAATATTAATAATAAAGTATTTTGCAGTGCACGCCACTGAGGTGTTAAAGTTATCGAATGCCTGTCATAGTCCATTACTATGCAACATTGAGAGCTGACAAGTCAATCTAGAAGTAAGATTGTAGAAGAAAAGATGTAGAAGAAATCACTTGTCCTTAATATTTCCTCCAGTGTTATTTTTCTGAAATCTTCACCTGGGTCAGCCTACTGGGAAGGAGAATGAATCCAAAGCCTCGTCTGCATTGCAGTTTTGCCATAGAAACATAATTTTGGTGGACAAATTCATATGCAGTTTGAATTGTGCATGTTAGTTGGAAGAAAACCAGACAAGTTAAATTCTTCCTCTCTCCCCAGTGGAACAAGTGGGTTTTTTTTTGTTGCAGTTCTACAGGAATAGTGTTTGCGTGGTGCACTGTGTGTACATGTGTGAGCAGTGGCAATCTCTCCCCCATTGCAGCTGTCACTTCATTAGTTGTCTCCCCCCCCCCCCTTGATTCTCTTCAGTGTAAAACTAGTCAAAATTAGCTAAACATTACCATGTCAGGAGGAAGTTTTGGAGTCTCAGGGGCTTTGGAAAGGGTGTTACAAGGACAGCTGTGAAATTTCGCAAGGGAGTACTATGGGGTACTTGTCGTAGCCTGCAATTAATAAATCGTGGCAGTGTTACTGGAAAGTGAGAAGCCAAGAAAGTGCCTTGTGCTCTGTCATGAGTGACTCCTATCAAGGAGCAAGGGTCCTACAGTGACCTGAATGGTGGCAATAAAGCATGAAGAGAAAATAGAGCAAAGTGTTCCAGGGAAAATTAAGCTGAGAATTTTTTAAAAAATATTTTTTCCACTATTATTATTTTTAAGAATCTGATACAGAGATGTAGAAATATTTTGGGGCCCAGTGGAAGGAGGGCAAGTTCAGCAAGTGTAACAAACTGTCTCTATTGATATACTGTCCCTATTGATATCTACTTGCTTTAATTTTCTTCACAAGCCTTGCCAAGCCATTTCCCCTCTCAGAAGCTTGAATCTTGGCTGACTGCCCACAGGCAAGGAACAAAGAATTTCTGTTTTTAAATGGTTGGTTTATTTTAAAAGCATTCATTGGCAGTAGTAGGCAAAATAAAGGGGGAAGGCGTTGGAAAAAAGAAGGTACTCTAAGGTACTTGAGAAGACTTCTTAGACAACAATGCAAAATGAAAATAATTATTGGTAGAAAGTGTAAAACAAAAGCAATTAAAATAGGAATGCATGCATTTAAATAGAAACAGCTTCCCAGGATTTCTAAAATACTGAAAAAAGGTAGTCTAGTGTTTGGGCTCTCAGATAATTTTATACCAGAGCCACTGTAAGCTTGCTGTGTGGGTTTTCAAGTCGAAAGCAGTATGTTTGTGCTCTCAACTTGAAGTTCATCTACAAGACAAATTGGTGCTGTTCTTAGAAGTCTGTAGGAGATAAAACTGATCCTGGTTTAAGTATGTTTGAGGTAGTCCCAGCAGCTCGTCAGCAGCAACACTGTGTCTGCTTGATGAGCTGTGACTTTTGTTGGCCCATATATCCTTTGAGTTATATGCATTGAGAGACAGGAACTGTTGGGAGCCCACAAGATTTTAATCTTTTTTTTTGTAGAAGAGTAGGTATTTTTGGTAGTTACCCAGTTTTGCTATTCCCTTAGACTTCATGTTTCTTTCACTTGGAATATCCATTAAAGATGTTCCCCAAAAGGCAGCTAGCAATAAGGCAAAAGGATTTTTTTTTCAGTGTGCCAAGGTAATTGCAAGTCTTGGGCATGTAGAAGCAGGGAATGAAGGAACACATGCAGTAGGAGAAGATAGATGTCCTGGAAAAGACACAAAGGCAGACTCCTTTGGCAGCATGCTCTGAAAGTGGTACAGAACTGCTAAAACCTACAGCCCAGCAGTCTTCGTAGTGCTAAGGCAGCTTTTTTTGCCTAGAAGTGTTCCTTCTTACCTGTCCTTAACATAGCAGCACATTTTATAGTATTGATATTTTCACATGAGTCTAGCGGCTATTAGTATAAACAGAGTCTTCTGTCTACTTATCTGTAATGCAGTTTGTAAAGACCCTTGAGTTTCATCAGCACGTTTTGGTGGGCTGTTTTTTGTCAGGCATTGCTGATGTTTTGTCAGTATAGATCCTCTTTTCCCTTTCTGCTGTGATATTTTTCTGCTGACCAAATTTTACACTAATAATAGGAATACTGAAGTGCTGAGAGTAAATTTTATCAAAAGACAGCTAAATGTGTTTTCACTTGTCTGGGAACTGTCATTGCTGTTAATAGTTGGTTCCAAGTAGAATATCCTGCTCTTTGTGGCACTGTGCAGCTGTCTGAGTGAACCTGATTAATGAACCCAGGAACCAAAGGACAGTCACCAGTATGGACATGCCAGTACAGTGTAGTAGTCACATTGGCATCTTCTCAAGAACTTGTGTACTCATAAAAATATGAGGAATGGGGTACTTCCTTACACACCAGTTTTAATCATGGCTCTGTGTAAACACTTCACTTCTTTGGGCACCTGTATGCCAGCTGCACCTCATGTAGATTTTTCACCTACTGCCAAACCAACAGCCATCAAAGACTGCAAATTACCAGAATACAAGTATCATTTTTGACATTCCAAAAAGTCTCATGTCGTTTTTTCACCTACTGCCAAACCAACATCTAAGACTGCAAATTACCAGAATACGAGTATCGTTTTTGACATTCCAAAAAGTCTCAGCATGTGAGCTCCTGGGCTTTTAGGTGCTTATTCCATTGTCTCATTCTTCTAAAATTAATCGTCTAGTGAATATGTTCTGTGCTGTTTTGGTGTGTATCAGTCATTCTTTAGACTTCCCATTTTAATTGCTTCACAGAAATGACTGAGGGTTTTCCAAATACCATAAAGCCAGCCCGTCTACTCTCAGAATGGTCAGCACGATTGATTCCTGTCAGCTGAGTGATACTCGTAGTTTTCTGTTGGAAAATTAGAAAACAAAATACTTTGGAGGTCACAGAGGCAAATGGGCCAGAGGGTGCACTCTGTAAATAGATGCAAAAAAGGGGAAATAATAGAATGGAGCGTGATGCTACTGTGGAAATTTTTTCCCTGGTATTCTGTAATGCTCAGTGATTCTTGTCTTCCTGAAATGTTTGTTGGCTCTTGCAGTGAAGTATAATTCTGCATATTTGGAGGCAGTTTTTTGTTTACTGATACAGTACCCTCTCTGTACTGCAGGATGTTTGTTGCCATGAATTTAATAGTAATTTCTTGTACAGATGTAATTTTAGTATGGTAATTTAAAATTGTTAATTAATTTTATAAACTTTTTGTGCTCCCACTGAGATGATAATAAATTCCAATTTTGTACTGTACAATTATTTTATAGTAATTTTTAATGTCGGCTTTTATTTGAACTGTCCTGATTTCTGTCTGCTGTCTGTTCTATTGCATTTTTTTTTCCACTTACTCTTTATTTGGATGCATGCTTCAAGGACTGTGTATGGCGCTTTTTTTTAAAGATCTGTTTTGATGAATCACTTCTTCTTTTTATGCAGTTAATATCTGGTTGCAAAGCCAGACCTGCTTTTGAATGCACAGTGTCATGTTGTTGATCATAATTTGAAAGTGTGGAACAGATAAATATTGTGGTAGTAAGTAATAGATGGAGTAAAATTCCCACTTATCAGGCCTACTTTCCTAATATATGAGTGTGTGAGAGACTTGGTCTCTAGAGTATCACTGAGGAGCTGCTGCAATTCTGTCTTTCAAAATATATGACCAAAGAGGTGACTTTATTTGACTGTAAGTTAACCATATCCTTTTCATGGTGTTTTTCTTGGCTTTATTCTTAAAAGTATTTTTGATCTTTGAATCAAATAGGTTTCTATCAAGCTTTGGTTTTCTGTGTTCTTTGCATCTGGAAACTGCTTATTAATAACTACCAAAAATACCTGATGGACCTGCTGCTTTCCTTTTCTCTTACAAATAGTTACCGTCATCTGTCCTGTACATTTTTCCAAACTAGAATGTACACAAATCATCTCTGCAGGACAGGTTTAAATTTGCCCTGCAACCATTTCTAGTGGTTTAGGAAGGCTGAAGTCTCTTGGGCAGGCTAGAAAAATGAACATAAATATGTGCCAGTCTTTCATGGGCTCATTGACTGGCAGAAGTGGCAGTGCTGTAAGGTGAAATAAGCTTTTAAGGATTTAGGTATGCCTTGTTTTCCTGAGGTTGTTTCAGAGCATGTACAAGGCATTCCTTTGCATTATAGCCTGTTTAATTTTTGTGTTGTATGTTAATATAATCTCTTGTTTTTTCTGGGAATGAGTAAAGAGGAAGACTTTGCAACAAAATTAAAGAAGGATGATTTGTAGATATGGGCTAGTTTCCATGGAGAAGGGTCAGTATTCAAACTGAAGTCTGATGCCAGTTAACTACTCAAATATAACTTTGCTATATTATGGAACATATAATGCATTTTCTATAGCTCTTTCTTTTATCTTTACTCCTTTTGTTTCATGTAGTCAATCATATAATTTATATATGACTGGTTTTGAAATACAGGTATACAGGATAGAGACATGATTTTATTTTGGAGTGGATGAGTGTCTTAGTTAATTGTTTTGTTGCCAGATGGATGTCAGTGTTGTGGTACCACTGGACAAAGTTGTATCCACACTGGTAGGTTTTGGCAGTGCTTTTCTTAGATAATCAACAGCAAAGGAAACCAAGCTGTTTATATGTCTGTGAAAGGCAAACCTAATGTCAGCTCCTCATTCAGGAATTGGTTGTAGCTCTAAGTTCTAATGTTGTTCCTGGCTTGGGCTTGTAACTTTCAGAATAATTTAAATATGCACGCTGATTTAAAGTACTTTGGGAAACTGGCACTTGAATTGGTTACTTTAGGCTGCTAATTGAAAAAATTATCTGGAAGACATTCTTCATGGATTCTTGGATTGCCATTTTGCCTGCAGTCAACTCAGGGGTTTTGTTTGATTTGGGTGTGTTTTGTTTTGGGATTTTGTTTCTTTTCTTTCCCTCCTCAGATTTTCAAATTTTGTTCTGGTTGTACTGCTTCGTCTTCATGGTTGTCTGCCTTTTGTCTCAGTCTCTGTGATTAGAAATGGAAAGGAACTGCAGCAAGGTGGTAGCTCTGATGCATCCTTTTTCCTGTTGCTCTCTGCAGTGCTTTGCCTTTGCCACAAAAGTCCCTCAGCTGCGGTTGGAAGAGTGCCAGCATTTCTAACCAGGATAAATCAGTGTGAAGAAGGAAGTCTCAGCTGCCTTTTTTTCTGCTCAGGGAGGAATTCCAACTCAGCATATTGTATGGTTTAAGAGAATGAGGGAGAATAAAGATCACAAAGTACACTCACTTTCTTTCATGTGTGCTGTTGTCTTATGGGATACTACCTCTAAATTACTGAAAACAAAGGTCCAGTCTGAGCCCAAATTTTGTCAAAACTATAATGTTCTTGTCAAGAAGTGCTAACCCTTCAGGGCAACAAGAGGTACAAGAAAATTCCAGTCCATCCATCTTACTCTGCTATTTCCTTCCTAATATGTATTGGAGCCTGCTGCTCCAATACTCTTTTTATTTTTCCTACTTCCAAATCATTTAGGCATAAGCTTGCTATTTTATTTTATTTATTTTATTTTATTTTAACCCCAAGGGTGTTGCAGGGAGTGTCTTATGAGTCAGTAGAAGTGCATGCACTTCAGCGGGAAAGAGGAGACCAATTCTCCAGAACTTTGAGATTACACTGGAATTCATGAAGAGGGAATGACCTTTAAAAATTTGTAGGAAAAGTGGCAAGTACAAGTAGTTTTCTTCATTTTCATAGACCTTGCTCTGAGTTCCTTTACCTCATGTCACTATATGGATGTTATGCAATTTCCCAGCAGGTTAAGTCCTTGATTTCCATTCGTTTCAGTAGTCAGCATGTGCACTGTGAATCAGACATACATGGCGATGGCCCAGTCTGCAATTCCTGCTGCTGCTTGGCAGGAGTTTATTCAATCTGTTCTTCTTGGCTAGACCTCTTATCCTGGCTTGTGGTCTTATTTACAGAGTGATGGCAGAGTTATTTCTGCTCCAAAGGACTGTAGTGATATTGTCTAAATGCTTCAGGACGAGATATGGCTGGAGATCTGTGGAGAGGTGAACTCAAGAGTTACCTGTTCTTTTCAGTCTTTTTTTTTTAAATGGAAGAAGCAGAGACTGTTTGGAATGAGGTTTGAAACTTAGTGTCTTCTGGAGTATCTCTCCAGAAGACACTTAAGTGTCTTCTTAGTTTGGTTTTCTGAGTAATCACGTGAATACTCTTCTCCTGGACCTCATAATGTTTTCCACAATTTTTGATACTGTTCAGAGATTATGTAGATACATAATGATGTGGGTGCAGTTTATTCATTAAAGTCTGTGTGCAGAGCCGTGGATTTGGCAAAGAGCTAGGGAGAAGAAGTTTTGGTTAGTGTGTGTCTGGGGAAGATCTGTTTCAGGAAATCTTAAGCCTCACAATTCCAGATATTTATGCTATGGAATGTAAGTTTTTATTGTTTTCCCACTTATTTTATGTACTTAAGACAAATTAGTATCTAAAACAGTTTTAGGGGGATTAGGCACATCCCTCGAACAAAGTATATCCCACTGCATTTACAGTGAGAGTTCCTATTACTGTGTGTTTGCTCTCTGTCCTTGTTCACAGTCACCCCCCACGGTGGAGGGTGAGCTGTTCTTCATTCAGTGACTTGGGATTGCCACTTGCATTAGTGCACTCAGCAGTCAGAGTTTATGTACTGTCAGTGGCTGCCATATGGCATTTTACACACAACTGGTTGTTACTTTATGGCAACTTTAGTGTCCAACTCCTGATGTCACCCCTGCCTTGGGTTAATCATTTTCAGAATAATTTAGATATGCATGTTGATTTTAGAGCACTTCAAAAATTTGCCACTTGAATCAGGCACGCTGGCTTGCCTGTCGAGAGGATTATCTGAAGAGTGAAGGGTAAGCACAAGCAGAGCCCGGCGCCCTGCTGGCAGTGACACTTGTGTTGGCAGCAGACAGTGGGCTGTCAGCATAAGGCTGATGGAACTGGTCAGTGGAGGGGAAGAAAAGTGCCATGGAGGCAGAGTTAGGTTTAGATGAGAGCTCAGCAGCACAAGAAGTTCGGTCTCAATATTCTGATACAAACTGAGGTGTAAATGCCACTACAGAAAGTCTGGTGAGGAACTCTATTACATGCCTAATTTCAGTCTAAAAAGTGCTTGTGACAGGTAGTGTGTGGGGAAGAACTGGGAATAGTGAGGAAAAATGTTACTGTTGTGTAAAATGCTTCATCTGGACAATATTAAATAATATAAATTCTCTTTTAAGAAAGTATTGAATAATTGGAGTAGTGTCAGAGATGGATGAAAAATGAGAAATATGAGGTATGCACATGGAAAAATATGGGATCTATTTGAGGGGTAAAAATTAGTAAGAGAATTATGCCTATGTAAATATATGTGCATGAACATATATGATTAATCTGGAACATCTGTTGTCACTGTTTTATAACACAAGAAGAAGGAGATGCTGAGTGAGATGCTTACCAAGCTTTCTTTTAAAAGTATGTTGAAGTCAGTTACTGGGCATTCAAATGTATGCATTCATAATAAAATGGAGAGTAATTCTATGTTCTTCCCTAACAATTGCTTGAAGTTAGATTTGAAAATGTAGTTCTGATTTAAACACATGTAGCTTGAAGCCTTCAACTATAACTACTCCACAAGTAAATGAAGATATCTTCACTTTTTGTTTAAATCTTTTTTTTCTCAGTACAGACATTCCTGAAGATGTGTGGCTCAAACTGCTTCCAACTGTCTGAACATTTGTTATTTAACTGATGAAGCTTTCCTACCATTTGCTTTCCTCCTGAAGCCTTCATCTCTTGAAGGATCAGAATTGGGTACTCTATGGTAAGATGTTTTTGAAAGTTAGAATAAAATCCTGAAGTGTAATGTGCCAATTTATTTTGGTTTTATTGCTATTCAATAATAAGACACCACGGCAAATAAAAAACCTTAATGGTGTACAAACCCAGGAGAGGAAACTTTGAACTAACTAACCAACCAAGAAACAACATGTGTTGTCTGTTCACACTTGTGCTGTACATCGAAGTGAAGAATAAGAATCATGTGAATCATTTCACAAGATCTTGTCTCTAGATGTATGTGTATAACTCATCCCAATGTTGTACAGAAATGTTATACAGCTCTCTTCTAAATACTGCATCTTCTTTCAAATGCATTTGGGTTTAATGTCAGTTTAAATTCCAGTATTTAAAATACTTGTGGTGCTTTGTGGCAGCACAGAAGTTTTGATTTTTGGAGAATAAAAATCAGTAAAAATAGGAAGAGGAAACCCAGTAAATAACAAGTGAGAAGGAAATATAACTGAACCTCTAAGCAGATAAAAAAACTTGTTTGCTAGATGATGCAATAATACCATATTTGGAAACTGATATTTGTTCTTGATCTCAACAACTGTAGCAGTTTTGAATAACCAAGTGGTACTTTACAAATTTCAGGAATCAAGACCAGCTAAAACATGAGAAGATAAATTCAAGATGATCCAGCCAGAAGATTTTTCACTTCATAGAAATATTATTTTTGTTTAATATGTAATATAATTAGAAAAAGACAAATTCAGTTGCCTTTCTCGAAGTTAGGACGTGCCTGTGGCCTTCATCAGAGATGTTTCTAACATTTTCAAGAAAAAATATGTCCCAGAAACTGAGTATGTTTTTACTAGTCTTTGGAATCATTTGGGGTTTGATGTTGCTACGCTACACTTTTCAGTATCCAAGACGCCAAAGCAGTGCTGAGTTGCGTGGACAGATATTAGATCTCAGTAAAAGATATGTCAAAGCACTGGCAGAAGAAAACAAAAACCTGATGAATGGTGGTGGCGGAGCCTCTGTGTCAGGATATGGTAAGAGGAAAAAAAGCCATACTAGTTACTTTAATATATTCTTTTCCTGAAAACTGTGAAGTTATAAATTTTCTTTTTTTTTTAAGTAGTTTATGCTCTTCAGCAGAAAAAAAACTTTTGTGTATTAACTGATTTGATTTTAGTTTATTCAGTGAAGTTGAAGATTAAGATGAGTTTCAAAATCAAGCTTCATACATGACATTTTTGCATTCCAGGATTTTATTTAGATCTCTTCAGGTACGTGAATACAGTTACTTACAGAAGTAGCAGCACATTTGTCTTTTTCTGAATCTTCAGCTATTGAAGAATAAGCATGTGCTTGATACAGGGACAAAGTTTATATAAAAGTATCTTCAACATTCCAGATTCTTCTAGTATCTCTTTCTAGCTTCCTACTTTTATTTCTTGCATTTTCTTACCCTTGAAAAAGCAATGAAAAAGGAAGATACTAGTTGAGTTTGCAGTCTGGAGACTGCAAGGCTATTATGATTTTGGCAGAATCTCTCCTTGTTTTAGAAGACGTCATCCCTTGTCTTGTGAACTATAATACTTGGTACATCATACCTCTTATTTGCCTGTCTTGTGAATATGTACCTAATGTGATAAATAGGTTGCCAGTATTTACTATCTTCTGAAATATTGAAAAGGTAACTAAAATAGTTTGTTTTTAAAAATACTATCTCAAAAGATGTATATTAATGAACTTTGATCCCTTTAAGATTTCTTTAAATGGCTCTGCCTGTTGCAGATGCCCTTTGTAGGCCTTTGGTAAGAGTGCAAGCAGCAAAAATGCGTCTGAAGTCTTTTTGCTGCTGCTAATGAAGAAGAAAGCAAATCTGTGATGACAAGATGTACAGGAGCAACCCAAGAGGAATAGGAGAGTAAAAAGTTTAAACCTTTAATCCTTTCATTCTTAAAATTATTTTTTTTACAGTAGGAGACTGCCTACTTTTTTCTTCCCTGTTTTCTCTCACTTTTTTTTTTTTTTTTTTTTTTTATCAAGGACTTCCTTCCTTTACTGTGTATTTAAGTTTTTCTGCAATTTAAAAAAAACCCAAAAAATCCTTGTGTACTGCAGCTTTCTCGTGCTCTATAAGTCTTACAGCATATTTCCAAATGAGACTTGTCTTCTGTGGTTTTGTCTGAACTTTAATATAAACTTAAGTCATCTCTTGATCTACCTGCTGATCATCAGAATTAAAACTTGGTGATTCCCTCCATCAGGCTGTTGAGAACAAAATGATACTACAGAGTACATGATCCACCCTCTGTTAGTGACAGCAGACCCTGCTCTGGCTTGAATTGTTTAGCAATTTTTTTTTCAAAATTGACATTACTAAACAAGAACTAGTTAATTTTACCATCTTTTCTCTTATTTTTTCAGTCAATAAAGATATAAATAGATTTTTTTTACCCTTGCTTTATAGCTTATGTAAGAAGCAATAAAAACAGCTTTTTTATGGGCTAAAAACCTTTTAAAACCAGGTTTTCTATAGGCTAAATCTGTCATTTAGGGGAAAGCTATTAACTACCTTTTTTATGCTGGAAAGTATTTAGATATATTCTCTTGCATCCAAGGCTAAAAGATGACATAGCTGGGTATTCCAATACTGTTGTCTGGATGAAATTTGAAATAATATCTTTGAATAGCCTCATCTAATGTTCCAACTAGTGTTTTTGTTCTTATACTCTAATATTTAATTGTCTGCCTTCACAGTTCCCTGTTATGGTGGTATCTCCCTTCCCTAAAATAACAAAGAAATGCTATTAAAGAAAATTCAAGGAGCTGTTTAATTCTGTATTCTAGACCAGTTGGCACTCCTATCCAAAAAGTATGGCAGGGAGGATAGCAAGTCTTAAGATGTGAATATGTTGAAATGGCAGTTCTTTTCCACACAGAGTAAACAACAGGCTGTAATTTGTTTTTTCCATTATCTTCAGCTGATCTTAAGAGAACAATTGCTGTTCTTCTGGATGACATCTTACAACGCCTGGTGAAACTGGAAAACAAGGTTGATTACATCATTGTGAATGGCTCAGCAACAAATACCACAAATGGAACTAACCATCAGGTGCCAGTGACATCAAACAAACGTGTAAAACCAGCAAGCAACATTAGATAGCAAGCAAGCCTGCTTTGTGTTGATACATCATTGATGGATAATATTTAAGATAAGCTTTTTTTCTCTGGCTAAGGCAAAGCAGTAGCTGACTCCAAAACAAGCGCAAACTATTGTATTCTACAACGTGCTTGGATCTATGTAGGCCTAACGTATGCTTAGGTTCTCAAAGCATTATTTCATTGCCATTGAGCAGTGCTTCTGAAGTGATCTTTGTTGTCTCTAAAGATATTTTGATATGATTTGATGTAGTAAGCCATTTGATAATAACAATACGTGGAAAACAATGGGAAACTTATAGGTAGGTTGCTAAATACACTTATTTAAGTATGAATATAACATATCTTTTGGATAGGTGAGCAGTATTGTAGTTTATTCATTTTTTGTGATCTGCATTAAGCCAAGGTAACTGAGGAAAATGTGTTGCTAAACAGATGATGGAAGACGTGTACATTTAAAATATTTTCTTACTTATTTACTATAACAAAATTAAATTGAAGATAGCGTTGGTGGTAATATTTTAAAATTGTGACCCAAAGAATGTCTCTATTTGCACTATCTGTCAGAATAGTAAAGAGAATTTACTGTATATTTAAGAAAACTTATTATAATAGGAAAACATTCTAGGTAGTAACACTGTCCAGGTTTATCTTTATGCCAGAGATAGGGCAGTTAGATTATCAAAATAAAATCATCATATGTGATATCTTAGATTATTATTTCTTAAAAAGATATTTATGTGTATGTATTTTGTAATTGCAGATAAAATTATTTAAGTGATGGAAATAAGTTTCGAATATGTGAATATAGTTTATTTTTATTCATTGCTGTTCGTTTTAACATTTTAATGCCTTGCAGTTTGTGTTTAGTATAGCACACCATCTCCCTGAATTGCTTTCTTGATCAGAAGGAAAAGCAATGAAGGGAATCAAGGCATCTCTGCATTTAACAGCAGTATGTGTACTAAGGGTGTCTAATCATGGAATATTTGAGAGCTAAGGTAATGTTTGCCTTATATCTAAGTCAGCCTTACAGCAAAGTGAATTGCATGCAGTGTTGGTGCACTGTATCTCAAATGTTACTGAAATAATATTGAAGTGCCACCGAACTTGTTTTTTAAACTGTACTGAATGTTTGGGGGGACAGAATGTTCAGGGACTTTTGCCAAAAGTGTCCTGTGAGGTTTTGGGAATGAGTAAAACCAGAGGCACTGGGTGATATACCAGGCAAAGTTATGTGGTTTTTTCCTTTCTTCTGTTTTCCTGCTTATATTTGTGATGGTTATAAAGGAAAATACAATTGCAATATTAATTCATACTTATTTAGTATTCAGATGATTCTTTTTGTCACATTGTGTGTAAACATGTACTCACTTCAATGCAGAAAGAGAAAAATAAATTTTTAATTGTACTTGTAAATGTTCCTGGGTTTGTTTGTTTGTTTTTTGTAATTAAATGGTTGTCATTCTTGCTACATATGCTCTAGCAGTTTCTGGATTGGAAAATTGTACATCTCTGAGTTTTAGTAGTAGTCTCTCTGGTATTCTTCCTTCTTAGTCACTGAGTTCTTCTGCTCTTGAAATTCTAATGCCCTGAACCTTTCCTTCCATTAGTGGTGAGGGGAGAAAGAATTGAAAATAAAATAATTGATTTAGATCTTTAATGGCAAAAACTTCTAAGATAAAGAACTGTGCAGAACAGCTTTTAAACCTGCAGATTGACAATGATAGATTTTTATATCTATCTGTCTGGTTTATTTCCTAGATATTTGGTTATTACAAACCAAAGCCTTTGTGCTATAAAGACATCGTTCTTTTCAGAGTGGCAAAATTAAAGGTGTGCACACTAAGGTAAAAAAGGGTAAGGATGGGAGGGTCTCAGCTGACTTTGCTATTAACAATAGTAGTAAGAAAACATCTGTATATTCTACCCTGCAGCCTTTCTAGATAGGACATGTGAGAGGTGTGGCAGCCCTACAAAGGTAGGAAGTTGTGTAAAGAAACCAAAGGCTTGTGAAGAAAGCCAACAAAAAGCCTACAACTTACCTCAGGTCCAAAATACTTGATAGCATCACACAGCATTTGGTTCTGTTGCCAAGCATATTTTTTACTTTGTGAGCAATATTTAAGTAGTATTTCTGCTGTGCTGCAGTTTTTATGCTACAGCTGTGTATTTCCCATTTCAGATGACATCACAAAGCCTCCCAAAGTGACCTCATTCAAGTTTTGTGTGTATGGAATCTCCTTAGGTTCTTAGGCTGGATGGGGTTTGCGGTATTGTTTCCTTTTCTTTTGTCTCCTCTTCTTTGGAAGCCAGGAGGACATATAAGCTCTCTTATATAAATAACTGCTGATATGGGGGATGGGGGAGTGTTTTGGTTTTGTTCTTGAAATCTTCTGGTAAATTAGGGGATATGAATTTTCCCAGCTGCAGTTTGCCTCATGAGTGTTTATCAGCTGATTTCACTAGGTAATTGGCAGTACTTCTGTGCCTCTGAGTGATTGCTTAATGTAGGTAGCAAAAAAATGTTCAAGATGCACTTTGAAACAGAAGTTCTAATGAAGAAAAATGGAAAGAGAAGAGTATATATTGATTGCTGTCTAAATAGACAGAAATAGCACAGGTCTAAATACAGCCTTTGAGTTCTACAACTAAATACCTGGCAGGCAAACATCTTGGGGAAATTTGTCTGTATTCGTTCATCCTTTCTGTTGCTTTTCTCATTTAAATAAATAGTTTTGAATATCTGCATAGTAATCTTAACGTAATGAAGATATCCAAATATTTTCTCACACGTGTATGTGAAGAGGGGTTCCACATTAAAGAACTTTTGAGATGAATGGAGGGACAGATGGTCAGACTCTCAAACACACTGATACAGCTCTTAAAAAGCTGCCTATGCAATGTTAAGATCAGAGAAGTTTGCTGATCTGTTTTAATTGAAATAATGTTTAAAATGCAGAATTATGGCCCAGGATATAGAGGTTCTTGTGTTTAGTGGCACCCACTATTATTCATCACATATTGCACAGTTGTCTGGTTTTCCAAGTGACTGCTAAATCCTTGTTTTTTAATAACAGTCATTTAAAGAAGCTGACTAGATAGATCTGAATTCTTATTAAAAATACTTGCTAATTCAGAGGTTTCCAAACTGCATCATGTTTGTTATGTGTGCAAGTTGCTTTAGCAACCAAGCACATTCTTTGCAGGTACATGTTCCAGAGGTATTTGCTGTTGTCACAGCCTTTGTTCGTGGGAATCCAGAAGTAGAGTAAATTTAGGAGCCTCTATCAAGACATTACTTAGAGAAATAATTGCCTAAAATTTAACATCCCAGTTTATGATGTTTTCTTGAAAAATCTTTTCATTCCTAAAAATACACTGACTAGTGGAATGAGCTGAATGTCTAAAACATTCTTACATAAAATTGGTGTGGTATTTTTAAAGGTGATATAGAATGTTAATTAATTAATCTAAATATGCCCTCTTTACCTAACAATTGTGCTCTTTCATCATTCTGTATTTTACAAAACAAAGGGTCTCCTACCTTGAGGTTCAATTTAGTGTATCTGATAGCATGCCACCTTCAAAGGCAAGAGCAAAATGGGAGACTTCCCTTTTATAGCAGCCAAAAAAGTGAATTAGACTTTTGCTCTGTTTTTCATGTGGAAGAGACTGGTACTGAATGGGTATTTCACTAATCTCAGTTTGTTAGGAATGATGGACATAGGCATATGTCCAATATGAATATATGTATATTTACATATAAGATATGAAAATATCTTTTAACGTTATTAAAATGAAGCCAAATTAAAAGAAATCACATTACATACATTCATGGAATCACATCTCTTAAGCACCAGTGGCATCACATGCTGCTGAGTTATCTGTAAGTGATCATAATTACTATATGTTTCCTAACTGTTTGTCAGTACTTCCAGCAAAAACCTTTCATTATTAATTGATTCTTGCTTGCACATGAGGTTAGGTTCCATATTCCCTTTGGCATTCATCAACTTACTTTGTCAGTTGGTGTCTAATCAGGTTCTGTTTTTCTAAAAACAAAACTGAAGAAAGACGTTGGTATTTTTAAATACTGTAAACTAAGTTTAATAATACACAAACTAATTTTTATTGTACGTAGTCTATGGTCATGGTTAGAAGTTTATAAAAGTGAGTACTGTTTGCATTTACTTTTAAGTATATTGGGATTTTGACAACACATGTGGAGTGAGGAAACAATTTGACAGAAACCGTTTCTGCTATGCTTTATGCCTCTTAAATTCTTGTTTTCAGAAGAGCTTATCAGATAGTCATTGACCAGATCCATAGAAATAGAATGACTGGCTACTACTTCAAAATGATGACTTGAGGTTTAAAATACTAAAACAGGTTTTTCCTAAATTAATTATTTTTTAGTAGTGAAGTGGGTATCTTCAATTTATAGATGTTTCACTGAGAATAATTTTAAACACTTGTCAAACTTGTAAGGGTTTAAAAAAATTTAAAGGGTCACACATTTTATTGTTAACAGAGGGTGTTGAGAGAGACTGTCAACACCCTGTGAAGCATTAAGCTGTTGCCTTTGATGTGTAGGCAGCACCTTAGGTCTCACAGAGCTGTACTGTGTGTCCATATGTTCAACCCACTTTGATGTGTTCAGAGATCTTGGGCCAGCAGTATCCGTATGCTACATCACAACTACAGGAGGTAAAGCATGCCATCTGGATTCCTGTTCCTTTTACTTACCTTGTGTCATGGCTTCTTCATAGTAGCTGAAAGCCTTATTTTTTTCCCTGCTATTCAAAATTATTTGGTAGTTTACAAAAAAAAAAAAAAATAATCTGTTTTGAGCAGTCTTTAATGAGTTTTACTTTGGATGTCTATTAACAATCTCATAGAAGGGATGAGAGACAGGAATGGGTTTTCTAAATTCAAAATGTATTCCAATACTCATGCTATGATAGTAAAAAGAGTGTTTGAAATATCTTTATTAGCTAAGAACTCTATTTCTCAGTCACAAAGTACTTTTTATATCTGTTCCTAAGTATGTCTACTGATCCAGATTTGGATCCAATCAGATCTTGGGGGGGGTCTTACTAGCACTGGGTGCTAATAAACTGAACACTGTATTGTGAAACACTTGCTGTGATCAAATCCAGGAAAAGAATTCTCCTTTTTTTTTTGATGGGAAGTAGTTCATAGGACAGATGCCTCACAAAAAAAAATAACTTGATTTCCTACTCTCAGTAAGTTGTCACTGGTTGTTCATGCATAAACACTGACATGAGTGACATACAGGCTAACATTTGTACCCCTCACTGAAAGCTGCATTATTAAGAAACCTGGCTCTTCTCTCTAAACCCAAGCTGTATTTCAGGGGACTGTTTTTAACAAGCACAGATGAGGCACATCAACCCATGACACAGGAGCTCTGCTCATTCTGTGTGAACCAGGCTTGCCAGAGCTCTTCCCCCCGCCCCCACACCTCCCCCTTTATTGGCAGTACTGGGATCTCTGGCACCAGCAAAATGTGCATACAGATAAGGTATCTCAGAGATCTTCACTTTTGTGCAGCTCCTGTGGAGCAGTGTGTTCCTCAGTATGTTCAAATTCTGTCTGCAGCGCTTCTGGTTCTGCTTTCAAGGTCCCCTTTTCCCCATCTGTTTCTTTTTTTAAGTTTTGGTCACAGGAGGAATTTTCTCTTCCCTGACTTTTCCCTGACAATTTTGGTTTTGTTGGTGTGATTTTATTTTCTTTCACTAGCTTACTCGAAGAGGTATTGACTGCAGTGGGGACTTGCTCCCTAATCTTCCTGCCTTTGAGGGTGATCTTTTGTGTTCAGATCTCAGTGTGACAGGGCGTGTGTGTTGTGTTGCTGTGCTGTCTGCTCTGCTGAAATTTCTTATACATGAGGCATAGCCACAGGACAAATGTCCAGACCATATGCCCTATCATCTTACTTGGATACTGAGAGTGTCCCTGTTGTTTCATCTCCTCCTGGGGGATGTTTTGGGAAAATATTGCTGTGGTCCTTGTGGCATTCCTCTTCACCACCTCCTGCTGCATTGCTAGTGGCTTGCACAGTTCAAAACTATGTGGAGATTTCTCTGAATTTCTTTTTTATTTTTTTTCCTCTTTTGCCAGGGAAGTATCATTGTATGGCATGAACAAGGCCTTTCCTCTTGGATCTCGGTTTGACAGTCTGAAGGCTCATAGCTTATGCTAGCAGGCAGAGCACAATTTAAATACCAATTTCCTAAAGCTTGGATAAGGAAAACGTACTATATTTTTTCATCACATATTTGATCACTTTGTGGCCAGTCTGTTTGTATCAATGGGAGGCAGTCAATTTACACTGTTAGTGCAGTGTCAGAAATAGCAGCCTTTGGTGGATTCGCTAAAAACACATTGGAGGAGTTGTTCCAATATGGTTACATTGATTGTGGCATATGGAGAAGAATCGGGACTTGCAGGTTGCCAGTCTAAGAACCATCTTTTGTTAAGAATGTTTCCCAAAGTTGGCCTCCTGTAGTCTTGAACTACAAGTAAAACGTATTTTCTAGTGGAACATACATTTTATTTTGTAAAGGAAGAGGAATCAGTGACCAACCAAAAGTACCCCTCACCTACCCACCAGAAAAGAAGCAGTAGTCTAAGCAGCAGCAGCAGAGGGCAATGTGGGTGCAAGGCTGGCACTGGGAGGGTTTGGGTGCTGTGCTGTGTGGCTGGTGGCACCCAAGGCTGTGGATGCCCTTCTGAGGCACTGCACTTGTGTGTGTGGGTGGCTGTGCCCTGGCACTGCTGCTCAGTGTCTATCCCAAGGGGCACAGGGGGTGCCTGCCTTCCCAGACAGTGTGTCCTGTCCTTGATTTCGAGCTCCTCAAGATTTGAATCAAACTTTGCAATTTTTTTAGTTATTAATCAGTTGCCATAGCAGGACAGTTAGGGTTGAGCAATTGCGTTGTGAATGTTATGTGCTTGGCTAATTTTTTGTTTTAAGGAAAAGAGAAGACAATTCCAAGATGAATGGACTGTGTGGATGAGAACCACCGGTAGTGAAGCCAGCAGAACTGAGCAGTAACCGAGAGAAAGGGAATTCCAGCTGTGGGCGATCACAGCCACCTGCTCAAAACAGACCCCAGACTCAAATGGGCAGAACTGTGCCTGTGCACAGAGCTGTGCATGACAAGAGAGAGGTATGACTAGCAAATAGGGGGCTGAATACTAGTTAGTAGGAAAATTACTCAATTTGTAGCCAATGAATGTTGATGCCTTTGTTAAAATGTAATCAATAGTGTAAAGTTTTGATGACCTAGCCTTTTGTGGGTTACCACCTAGCTCTCTGCTTTGCGCAAGCCGGAATAAAACAGAGCAGGGCCTCGCCCCACTGCGAGCCCGGTAACGACGACGCCCCGGCCGGACAACAGCGCGGCGCGGGGCTGGCCGCGCCCGCGGCCCGCACGCTGCCCCCGCGCTCGCACGTTCCTCAGCCGCCGGTGCGGAGCGAGCTGCGGCGAGCCGCCCGCCTTCCCCGCCTGGCCCCCTCCGTCCCCCGGCTCTCTCCTGCCTGTCCCCCGCCTTTGCCCCGCCTGTCCCCGGTGCCTCCCGCCTGCCCGGCCCCGCCCGTTCCCGGCGCCCTGCCCCGGGCGGCCCGGCGGGCATGGAGCGGCTGCAGGCGGACGCGGAGGCCCTGGAGGAGTACGCGGAGTACCGGCGGTGAGGCACAGGGGCGCTGGGGTCGCTGGGGCGGGGGACGGGCGTTTCCAGCCGTGCCGCATCCCCTGCGGCGGCCCGGGATTCCTCCCGGGGGGATGCTCGCCTCCGGCCCTCCTGAATCGGCTGCTGCGGGGTGTGCGGCGGCTTCGTGGAGCCACACGCACCGCCCGCCGGCCACTGTCGCAGTCGGAGGAGCCGCGGCTGGTGCGCCCTGGTGAGGACGCGCTGCAAGCCTTGGCTGTCAGCGGGGAAGTCACGCATCGTCCCTCGCATCCAGGGCAGCGTGAGGTGTGCTGGGAGAGGCCATCTGCTGCATCCCTGCCCACGGCAGGGGCTCCGGAATTAGGTGGTCTTTCAGGTCCCGTCCAATCCAAACCATTATCTGATAATCTGCCAGCCGTACTGCTCTTTCAGAATACGAGGAATTCTGTGCATCATGAGTTCCAAGTTTTGCGTTGTACAAATCCCTTACACTGCTGTGTGTCTTTGCCAGTCTTGTCAGCGGTCCTCTCGAAAGGCTGAACAAAAATAAACACTGTCGTTGTGCTGAGATCTTAATTTAGTTTAGGAAAACCTCGAGTAAAACACAGTGGTATTTCTTACGTAAGATGTGCAGTGATTCAGTGGGTGTTGGTTGGGTTGACATGCACATTATTCTGGTGCTGTACAGTGCTGGCAGTGCACAAATCCACAGAATACTTGACAAAGAATCACTCGTTCAGCATTTTTTAGCATATCCAATAAATAATAACTGAGATATTTACAGACATTAATAAAATCACTTTTAGCATAGATAAGTGCTGCAGTTAAGTCTCATTTGTATTTTACATATTTTATTTATTGTCCTTAATTGTTTCCATAAATGCAGAATTTGGATGCTGCTCCAGAGTTCCAGCTAGTCAGTGACCTTGAATTTGAACATAGTGATAGCTTAAACAAATGGGCCTGTCTGTACTGAGGGATAGGGCCCCCACCAGCTTCTGCTACAGAAACCAGCATAGTCTTCTTGCAAATCAGAAGACAACTTGAATGTGTTGTTTGTTACTTTGATGGTTACCTGCTTGCAGCTGAATACTCAGACTAGACTAATATTTGATACAAGTTTGACTAAGATCCTGATACAAGTCTGCAGTACAGTTGGGTGTAGATGGGTGAAGTGACTTGCTAGAGGTCCGTGAAGAAGTCTGAGGCAGAGCTGGCTGGTTACATGACCCCTGATGCTCATTGCTATTTTTTTTTTTTTCTGAAAGAACACCTGGTAGTTTGTTGTGTTAAATTTTTCCTTCTCTCTTAGAACTAGTTCTCAGTCTATCAGAGCAAATTTTTTAAAAAAGCATTATTCAAAAAATATTCTCCAAAATCAGCCATAGTTCTGTTAAATTATTAGAAGAGTAATATGAAATACAAGATTTGTTTTGCATTTACAGAAAACATTTTGTTATATATTATTTGAAAAAAAAAATCTGAGATACCTACTTTTATTTTATTCATTTTCTTATGTTTTTTTTTTTTTTATGCTATGTAAACAGAATTGTAGGTGATGATGATGGAGGAAAGCTCTTTACTCCTGAGGAATATGAAGAATACAAAAGAAAAGTATTACCAGCTCGGCTACAGAACAGGTTGTATGTGAGCTGGAGATCACCAACTGGCATGGACTGTAAGCTTGTGGGGCCAGAGACACTGTGCTTTTGCACTCACCGGTGGGTAGCTTCCCTCTTTTTACACTTTAGTATTTTTCACAATCAGGAAAATGTGAAATAATCCCAGACACATTACAGTAGCACATTGACAAATTTATTTAAGGTTTAAGAGTTGAGAAAATTAGGTTTTAAATAGTAACAACTGCTCGTACATGCAAATGTCAATATATTTTTGAGACCAAAATGATTTTGTAGTCTCAATAAATTCAGCTGCAAGGCATGAGTTAATGTAGATCAGATTGATTCTGGTAGCGCTCTCAAAATGAAAGATAAGGATATGTGATATTTATGTAATGAATAGATGTAAAACCACCTGCTATCATGCATTTAATTGAAATTTCACTATTAAGAGTAAAAAGTACAATTAAAGTTACTTCAAAACAAAATCTGTGAAGTGAATAGCAAGCCTTTCAGGTAGTTTTCTCATAAACACTAACAAAGTTATAAAAGTCATTACCTCTCCTGTTTTAGGTATAAACAACACAAAACAGACTACGAGGTGCTTCCCAAGGAGCGCCCTATCAGTCTGCCCTGCAGAGTGAAGCGCTGCCCGTGCCAGTCCTACCAGTTCGTGCCCCTGAACGGCACCCAGCCCGTCCGCTGCCGCTGCAAGCACTTCGCGGACCAGCACAGCGCCGCGCCGGGCTTTCCCTGCAACTCCTGTAAGCCACCGCTGCGCTGGCGGCACTCTTTGGAGCCGGGAAATTCAGCAGGAACAGCGTGTGAGGATGGGCGTTCTGCCCAGGGTATCGGGTGTGTGCTGCTCTTGCCACCAATGCGTGTTTTCATCCTTGAGGAAGGATGAGAAGAGGGAAGGAGGACATCACCTTTTGCACAGGAGGGTTTAGAACAACATCCTTAGTTTCCCCAGGTCCTGTGAAGGAGTTTAAATCTGTGAGTGCTTCAGATAGGTGCTTATGGAGACAGATGTCTGAAGTTAGACGGTATGAAAGCACCCTGTTATCAGTTTGTCATTTCTGCTGCGTGCACGTACCTTTTCTACCTGAACTTGCTAGTTTGAGAGAGAGAAGCGTTGACCTCCATTTCTCTATTGTCAAGTTGACTAGAACATTAATATGTTTTTGTCTTTTCTCAAGTCAACAGGAAGTACTACTCTGTTCCCAAATAATTCTATTGCTAGCACTCTAACAAAGTGGTTCATGACCATAGAGATTGTGGCTCTAGAAATACAAATGGGAAAGGAGTTTCAGCAAGATCTTAGAAAAGGGATGAAGAGGAAGCTTTTTGCTGCAATTGTTTGAGGTTAATGTTATGAAACAACAGTAATTATTAACCACAGGAAATAAATAATGCATAGAGATGTTTTAGTTTGAAGCCTCAAATTACAGAAGATGAAGATTTTTTTTTTCTGGAGTTCTGTACTGTTATTAAATTTCTTTCATGGAATGTCTCTATTTTGTACAGAAAAAAGTGCAAACAGCTTTTGCTGATTGAGACTCATATCCCACATAATAAACTGTAAAATATGTACATGACAGCCTTTCAAGAATTTGCACTAAGTAATGTGAAAATCTTAGATGTGCAGTTGGACAATTCAGACTGAATCCATAGAACAGAGTATTTTCAATATTAATATATATAATGCCTTTTGCCTAGTGTTTCCCAAAAATAGCAGACACTTCTGAGGGCTTCACAGATTTTGCAGTGAAGTGCCAAGAATTGCTTCTATTTTGGACTTGTTTTGTTTTAATGTAATGGTATTAGTCTTGTCCTGTGTTGATAAATCTAATGTGACAGATAAGTTATAACTTATATGAAAAACTTAGCTGCTTGTTACTCTGTATATATTGCATATACTGTATTCCATGTCCAAACATAGAGCTCTGTTACTGAGAAGTGCCCAAAATAATATGAAAAACCCTTTAACATTTTCACATCACATGAATGTGATCAACATATTATGAAAGACTTAAAGAAATTTTTCATGGTGCTCCACAAAATGAACTGGGAGCTGGGAGCAGGGTGATATGTATAATGAAACATTTGCAACACCACTTCCTCAATTTCTTGGTCACATCATTGCTCCAGAGGGGCTTTGATGACAGTTTTAGATGTAGCTAGGGCAGACAGGTCACCAGTAAGATCCTGTGACTGGATGGCCTTCATGATCTAACCCTGGGAGTCATTCTTTCTCTTTTGTACTGCCTTTTCATACAGCTGGATGCTTAAATCCCATCACCATCTCACCCATCTATTTGTTTCTTAGGTTCCAAGTGTTCAGGCTTTCATAGCTGCTTTACCTGTGCATGTGGTCAGCCAGCATATGCTCATGAAACAGTTGTGGAAACGAAAGAGGAGCGCTTAGCCCAAGGAAAGCCCGTGGGGCAGGATGTTCCTTACGCTGCCATGGGAGGACTGACTGGTTTTAGCTCACTAGCAGAAGGCTACATGAGGCTTGATGACAGTGGAATAGGTATGTGCAGCTGACCTGAGATGAAATTTTAATTCTCCACTTAAGTTTTGAAAAGTATTAAATCAATATAGAGTTTCAAAGTTTGAAGGCAAGTTGGAGGAATAGAACTGCAGAAAGACTGTTCCTTTCTAGCAGTCCTCAAGGCTTTAAAGGACCACATTGTCCTACTCACTGTTGTGAGTTGATAAAAACCCCTTTTTCAGCAATTCTGGTGTTCAACCCAGTTGCTTCTGCTCGAAATGCAGCATATCCTTTAGAGAGAACCTGTAACTTCTAGTAGTTCCTGTAACCTAGTACTCTCATGTTCTGTTTATGTTAGTCCTTTAGCCTAATACTGCCCTGGTATTTCTTGGTTATATATTTACAGCATTTTTGTTTCCAAACTCAAAGGTTAATAGCTGTTCAGCATAAAAAATAAGACATATTGGTAGAACCTTTTAACAGACTTGTTAGTTGGTCTTGATACTTTTTCTGCTCTGTAATTTGTTGTCAGTAATGCACATGTTTTGTCCCAAATACTGTTTTATCTATTATTGCCACATACCCCTTATTTATTTTTTAAATTCTGATCTGGATTCCTGGATTTGTCTGAAGTGTAGAAAGTAAAACATTACTGTAGTAATTGAAGAAACAAAGCTTTTCAATGCCTTTGAAGCCATCCTTGTAATGCTTTAGTTAACTCCAGTTTATGGGGTCTGTGCTGAGAGTTATAGATATGAATCTGTAACCTTGTTTTGACCCCAGAATGAGTATTAGGACTGTATCTCCTGGAGTTAATTATTGTTTCCATTCAACTTATTTTCTGACAGGTACTCCTTCTGCTGAACTTTTAGAAGCCCCCATTACTAGCATGGATCATCCATTTCTAAAAGCATTTCAGGGGCCTTCGAGTTCCACCCAAACCATGCCACAAATAGCAGGTGATGTATAAGTAGGATAATACTGTTATACAAAAAGCACTTAATATATAATGAATTGATTTTAGTAATGAATTGAAGGATGCTCAGGGCATTCAAATGAATATAGAAGCTTTGCTATATGATAAGTTAGTACAACATTCATGTACTTCAAATGCTAAGAATAATGTAATGCTTGTTATTTTTGCTTGTGATGTGTTTTTTACCTGAAAGTATTTTTTGTTAGTGCTTGTTATCTTTCCCATCAATGGTGTCACGTATTCATTGGATCAGATTTTAAAATTCTTAATTCCTCTTAGAAACTCATCATATCTGAATGGGTTGTACATAGTCAGCACAATCCTGTGAAACTGCCTTCTGTCAGAAAGCTTTTTCTCCATGGGATTATGGATCACTTACACTTGTTTTATGTCCCTTATTTAGTACAAAATTTACCAATTAATGCAACAGTTGAACGCCTTTAAAAGAGCTTATAGTAGGTGCAAGCCTAGACTAAAAAGGTTTCTCTTTGGTCCCAAATGCTGTGTTTTGTATTTGCCTATAAATGTGAGTTCCCATTTTAAAAGGATTTTGCCAAATGTGAAACATAACTAATGGAATAATGAGTATCATTAATAAAAAATGGGTTTTGTTACCTGTTTGTGTTTTCTTTTTCAGGTAGTTCAAGTGCTACAGGGCAAGTTTCTCATGGAAAACAATCAGAAGCTGATGACATGGCTTACTTTGAAAAACGCTATCAAGAACGGGCAAGTTACTGCATTTATGGATTAATTTAAATACACTTTCACAAAAGGATGCCTAAACTCTATAAATGTATGATTCAAGTGGCATATAAATGCATTATATAATTCCTTCTCAATTGCTGAGAAAGCTAGCTTCTTAACATAAATTTTAAAATACAGCTATGGGCTACTACAAGATTTCAGAGGTCAGTCATGTGTGGGATGGCATTTACCTTAACCAGGCAAATTTTAATTGAGGGTAACTATTACAGAAAACCAAAACATTTTACTATATGACAGAAAGAAACAACAACGCAGAGTCACAAAAACTGCCCTGTGACGTTTAGAACTGTGTGTTTGCTACCTCACTTATAAAACTTTATAATTTTTTTTTTTTTTAGTGACTGTGTAAGTTTGGCTAAATTTGGTCTGTCTTTCTTAGATGTTCTGTATCACTCAGAGGTGCCTCCTCCACCACACTATCTTTAGTTTCAATGCCCTGTGGTGTAGGTTATTCACATGTTTAAATACCTATTCTTTTCTCACATTAGCCCTTTAGCTCCACCATCTCAGCTGGAGTATGCCTTGACTGTTTATGAATTCTTTTGTAAGGCAATGTTGCATAATTAACTTTTAAAATCTAAACTGTTTCGCTATTTTGCTTGCTGGCTTGCAACAAGGTGTTTGTTAAGGAGAAAGCTGTTCTAGCTTTGTGAAATTCAAAATAGTTTGTTTCGCAAATCATCAGAAAATATGGACAGATATTACAAATTGGTTCATAGAAAACATCAAATTCAAATTTCTCAGTTTCTTTTTCCCCCAGAGATTTTATTTGCTTTGCAAAAGGTAGTAGGAATTTTAGATAAAAGCCTCAAGCCTCCAAAGGGGGAGAAGGGTTTTAAAATGCATTTTTGTGTAGACCAACAACATTTGCTTAGCAGTGAGTTCATCCGTAGACATTCCAATGAGGTCTTGGTATTATGTGATGATGGGAAAAAGCATGTGAATTCTTTTTTTCTTGCATTTTTAATAGCAGCGTGTGTGTTAGATGGGATGCAAATGTCTCTGCATCCCTTTTTTATAATTGCTTTAAATGTGTTTTCATTCACTAATCTAACAGTACTTGAGAAAAATTGTAGCTTCTAAAACCAATGGATGTATTTGGATAAATAGTCTGGCTATGAAATGACAGAGAAATGAAATGTGTATGTATTGATAAATTTTACAATGCTAAAAGAGCCTATTGTGTAGAAATAATCTTACAGGAGGAAGTCACGGCCTTGTGGATCAGCAGGGAGGCTCTGAGATGAAGGTTCAGCACCATTCCTGTGTAGTATTATGTGTGCTGGTTTGTCCAACTGTGTCTGTTAGACATCTGCAATAAAACTGCTCCACCTTTCATTGACATAGAGATAAACCCTGAACCTTTAACTCTGACCTATAATGCCATTACTACAGATGCCAATCAGAGAGGCTAACCTGTTACTTTAATTTAAATACATGATACATCAAAGTGCCTAATTAATGTTTTTAAAGTACCTTTACTGTTAAATTGTACAGTTTCTCATCTGAGACACACTGGCCTTGAGGCATGCTCAAATACTAAACTGCCTTTATCAGAGATAAGGCAGCCTGGTTTCAATAGGGGAGCAGCTGCAGCACCATGGAAGTGCTCCTTTGTCTTGTGGTGCAAGTGTGAGCAGTGCTAGGTTGGGATAATAATGTTGTGTACCTTTCTCCACTGCGTGTATCACCCTGGTAAATTTGTGACTGGATCTATAAATTTAATATTGCATTGTTAGCCAATTTGCAAATCAATGTTTGAACCACTGCTGGTGTCTTTTTTCATTACAGCTGAAAATGGAGAAAGCTGCTAAACAGAAAGAGAGGAATCCAGTGCCATCAAAGAAGCCATGAGATTAATAAATAAATATTTATTATTTGGCACATTGTTAATTATTGCATTGAGTATTTTCCTCTGTGCCTACCCACATACCTGTATTTATTAATTTATTTATTCTGTTTTGTTCCTTTGCTGAAATTAATTTTTAATTATCTCATTGTAATAAAATTGGTTCTTTAATCAATGTGTTTCTAATTTCCAGGACTATTACACAGATACTTCTTTGAAAATGAAGAAGCATATTTAGAGAGTTGCAGTCTGAGGGTTTAAGCTCTGAGAGTTAAAGGTTGGAGAGAATAACCTTGTATTTAAATATTAGATTGTAGGAAGGCAAATAAAAGATATGTCTTAGACTTTTATGATACATCTTCTTTATATGTAGAGTCCTTTAAACTCATCTTGGTTATGGATTTTATGTGGTGAGATTTGTTCTGCTAATATTGACATTTTAATATTTTCTTTGTATCTTTTTCCCCTTTCTTTTGATTACATCTCCTCGACATAAAATTCAAACATATCCTTCTTCTCTCACACTTCTGTAGGCTCTGTTATTGCCATCATATAAATATTTTTATTTAAATATGATGTTCTGCACACTTGAAAACCCATTTCCACACTTATAAGCTACTTGAAGGGATCCTGCTTGTGTACTTTGTCCCAGATTCCTCTGGTGTTACTATTCTCCCAGTTCTGTTTGTCTGTTACTGTCCATAACAATTGCTGCACTAAAATTCTGAACATCTTAGGTGGAAATGGGTATGTTATTTATAATATGTAAAGCAATAATTGCACGCTGTTTGGTACAAATTTATTTATCCAAGAGATTCATCATGTCTAATCCAACACAGACTGAATCACCTCAGGGAGATGTGTTTTTGTCCCTATTCACAGTTGTGGTAATGTGTGTTTTATTGAAGAGTGGACAGGAAAACATAAAATTTAGTGAATGTGTGGTGGAGGAATACTGCAAAGCAGCACAGCACGAACTTGGTACAGAATAACTGGCAGAGAGTGCAGCTTAGGAGGCAAAAGCAGAGCCTGGGCTAACTGATTCTGCTTTGAGAACAGAGAGGTGTAAGTCAGTTTGTTCTTAAAAATACCTGGAGGTGTGTCTCGGACTGGAGGCTTTACAGGAGATGTGTGTACTGAGACTTTACAGCAAGAATTGGGAGAAGCCTACAAAGCTTTGTTTCCCATTGGAGAGAATGTGCCTGATGTGCAAAGGAAAAGAAATGAGTTTGAAGGCATTCACTGCAGGGCAACTTGGTTTTTGTTCAGATATCACCTGTAGTGTGAAGATTCACTTTTAAGAGAGCCTTTTACCTTTAACTCTGACCTATAATGCCATTACTACAGATGCCAATCAGAGAGGCTAACCTGTTACTTTAATTTAAATGCATGATACATCAAAGTGTCTAATGTTTTAATGTTACCTTTACTGTTAAATTCTACAGTTACATCCTGCTTTAGCCTAATCAATGAAAGTACTCATTTGAGCTCCCTCTTCTGGCCCTGGCAAGAAATCCATTCTGTGCATCCTCTGCTTGGTTTTGAAAATAAATGGGATTTTCACAATGTAATCGCAAGAAACCAGCAAATACAAATAACATTCACAAAGAAAAGTGAAAAAAAAATTCCATTTTCCAAAGAGATTATCACAAGCTTAATAGTGGTATTTTACTCTAGTTTCCTACCCTTGAGGGTATGCAGTTCTCATATGCAGTCTGTGTGTGTTGCAGCAATGAACTTACAGCAAAATATTCTTAAAAAGAGAGGTTCTAATAGTTACAAAAACTTTTATTTTGTGTTCCTTTTGATACTGTGAGCATACGTTTTAGGAAATAATGTATTGTTTTACATTTTGAGTTGACAATATTTGTCTGTTTTAATGTTATCTCTGCCAAATTCAGTCCTACTAAACTGTACTTTGATCATCAAAAACATGTTTTATTAAAGCAATTTAAAAAAATATACTGTGCTTTAGCTTATTTACTGTTTCCACTCTAAGGATATAAAAAGTAATTACATTTGTTTAGTGATATCCTTTTTATGTGGAAAGCAGGTTAGATAATAAAAATATAAACAACATTAACTACTTCTTAAGAGTTCTGACTGCTTTTCAATCATGTTGATGATGTCCGACCAAAAGAAACTTGCTTTCCTTACAAGAAGACAGTTTTTTGACTTAGTATTTGCACTCTACTTTTTTTCTGAAACTTTATTGATGTCTATACATGAAAATCCAGGTACAATATATCTTATACCATTGCTGGATGTGAAAACTGGACACTGATGTTGCATCTTAAGTGAAATTTGAATTTATCCTAAAAAACAAAATATCATTTTGCAGGATCAATATTGCAACCTCCAATTCTATTCAAAAATGTCTTTATATGTCTGTTAGAAAATATTTTTTTTTAATTATAAAAGCAGAGAGCAAATGCTAGTGCATGTGCCATTAGCAGTGTTCATTAAACAAAGAGCTGGGTTTAACTTGCTGATGGTTTGTTTTCCTGAGAGCAGCCATGAACTTTGAACAAAATATCCTGGGACAGATAAGTTACCAATTCATCAGTGTGATTTATTGGGTGGCTGTATATCTGTCGTTAGCTGGAAGCATTAACTGTTTCTGACCCTAATCCAAGGAATCAGGCACAGGCAGAAGGGTTTGTTCTCATGCACATGAGTGCTCTAAGCTGTTAAAGCCTAATTACACAGGCCCTGGGCAGTGCTTAAAGATGTCTTATTTTTAAAATAGCTGGCCTTCAAATCAGCATTTTTCCAGCATTATAACATTCCTAGAGTGTAGAGCAACATTTTTTCTCTAGTTTTGATCATCCTGTGGAAAGGCTCAGGTGTCCCTTGGCTGTTAGGACAGTGGGCACTGTTCAGTGATCCTAAGTGGAGAGCCAGGAGCTCCTCCCCGTTCTGTGTGCTTCTGCTGCTAAATACCAACCACGGCTGTCTGTCTCAGGTTCGGGAGCGAGGGAATGCCATGTGTGAATTCACAACCACTGATGGCATCCCTGCAGTGACTCTGTCAAGTTGTCAGTGTCTTTGCAGCATGTTGTGCATATTAAATGACTGGCAGGTCTCATGACTGTATGAGCCTCTCTAGAAGTAGTTTATAGCCATGCAAGTTAGCACAGATATAATTGAAAAAAAAACAACAAAGGTTTTCCAGTCTAGAATACCTCACACAGGTGTACCTGTTTTTTTTTTTTTTTTTTTTTTTTGTAACTAAATATACTGTTCTTGTCTAGAAGCCTACTCTTGCTTTGGAGCCTTTAGCATCTCTCTTCTGGCAGAAGGAATCATTACTTGCTTAACACTGGTTTTAGCTCTGATTTTACATCCACTGTACCCACGTCTGGCATGGCTGGGCTCTGATCCCATGGGCTCCTTCAGTTACCTTCCTAGGGAAGCTCCTGGGCTCAGCCATAACCTGTCACCTGTGTGATGCTGTGTCACAAACAGAATGGGAACCTTACACAAAGTTTATTAGTTGAGTCACAAGGTGCAGAAAGGACCCCCTTGCTTTCTGAACTCCTCACAGAGGAGTCTAGGTGTGGCTGGATCCAATCTTAGCCCCAGACTGAGTCAACACTTCATGTCTAAAGGATTATCTAGGTGTAAATGAACCTTTGTACAACTTTGTCCTGCAGAATTAAGGATGGCAAACCAGATAACATATTTATTATTATAATGATTAGACTAAAATTAATTAATCAGAAATTAATCAGTAGTTAATCAGAATTATTTACTCCACAGGCAGAAGATATAACTATTAGTATAGTCTAATTCTCTATTTTTAAGCAAGATTGAAGCAATTATGGGAAAGCTAGCAATAAGTAGAGATTGATGTTACTGACTCATACCAAAGACTGTAGGCAAATCTCTTTTGCTCAGCCTTGAGGAATAATCTTGAGGGACACCCTCAACCCAAGAGAAGATCTCCACACACACTCCAAGAAGGGGGATGTCAGAAGACCCTGCCATTAAAGATTGTGACTGCTCAGTCAGATGTCTCCAGGCCAGCTGTGTCAGTTCAGCAGCTTCAGATAAGTAATCACTTTTTGTTTTTTTATCAGGCACTTTGCCAGGCCAGCTACATTTTCACCTCACTCTCAGAATGTTTAATTTTGGAGCTGTTGAGTCAGTCTGCTTTCAGCATTATTCAACACCAAAAGCAGCACGGATGGCTTTGCAAAAAGGTGTTGTTCAGGTTGTTCTAGGCAGGGTATCCTGATACACATGGCTGAGAACATTCAAAATCATTTGATTCTAACTGAGGTGCTTAATCTTATCCTCCCTCTCCCAGCAAGTTTCTGTATATGTGAGAACAAAAGATAGCATTTAATTTTAGAAAAAGAAGAATAATCTAATTCAGATTACAGAATTCCAAGTACTGTTGTTCCTCTTCAAACTGCAGTTATTATTTTCTGTAATGTCAGAAAGAATTGTTCATCAAATTAATATGTGATGAGTGAGAATTTGTTGCACAAATAATTTTGTAGCTATGCTTTCTTGGATATTTGGTAGGCCAAAAAATAAATAAATTGAGGGCTAAAATATTTGTTTTTGACTGAAGAATACTGCAGGAGTCAGCTGGAGTCTTGCTGGGAGTCTATCTCCTGCCCTAAAAGTATCAATTTTTATGTAGATGGGCAGGAGGATGTTGGAAGGGGGGAGTGAGAAAAAGTAAAAATACCCAAACAATGAATAGTTTTCTTTAGTGTGAGGGCTGCAGCAGGGAGAGGGGAAAATGCAGAAGGATTACCACAGGTTTTCTTTCCTCTTTGGTCTGCTGGCTAATTGGTGTGTGCACATTGGTCAGAATCTGTGTAGCTTTGAGCCAGCTGGAGGAGACAATGCTGCTTGTCCTGTCCCCAGTAGGAATTTGGGGAGGTGGACCAAACTTTACTCATTCTGCTTATGGAATAACTTTTTCTAATAAAGGGGTTTTTAGATTTAGTCATCATAGGTAATTCTCCTTATTCTGGCATTGAGACTCAGTCAGAGTGTTTTATTTAACATTGTAAAGTAAAGAGTGTAGGACTGTGCTTCTTAGGTTATCAAAATATTCAGTTGCACAGGTGTTTCCTTTACATCTCTGAACTCTGGATCTTTTCCTTTGAATTATAGGTAGAATGTTGTCTACCAAAAGCCATATTTCTGGAATTGACCTTGTTTTACAATGGTTCAGATGCTAAGTCATAAGAGGGGAAATATGCTTCTCTCAGCCAACCCAAAACCCCAGTCTTTCATGTAAACAGAATGAGGAGTGTGCCAGAACAGCTGTCTCCTCTGCTTAAGGAGAGAAAGAGAATGGATACCAGATACCTGCTAATGTTTGTGAGGAAGGACTGAAAAGTAAGATCTACATACTGTTAGCTGGTAATGAAACTGTTAAAAATGTTCATTGCAAACTATTTCTCCGAGGTACATTACCTGATCTGATTAATTAACTCTTGGAAGAAAATTAGAGCAGGCTTGCAAATGCAACTAAAATGATAAAGACTGAAAGCTTAAGGTGGGGCATTACTTGTCTCAACAGTAGTGCAACTGTTTTGATTTGATTTTTGGCTGTTATAAACCATCAAGCACCTATGAAAAATGACAGCTAATAACTTGTATGCTATCTGCACACTTGGAATGTCAGCAGATGTAATGGCTTCTTGAAAACAAGTTGTGTGTCAACAAAAGCTTATCCTCAGAATAATGCAGCTTTTGGCAAAACTGGCTTTAGTAAGGTAAGTAGTTTGTGTATGTGTGGAGTTTGTTTTTTCCCTGGATGTAAAAACTTTAATTGTATGTAACCATTTTTCTAGGTACTTACTTGATCTTTGAATATGTTGTGGGTTATATTCTCTTAAATTCTCTTTAAGAACTGTTGACTCTCCTAAAGAAAATGCTTATTTTGTGTGAGCAAGTCTTGCTGCACTTCACACTTCTGTGAAATTATGGAACGGTTTGGGTTTTTTAAACACTGAGAAAATACTACAAGAAGGTAATATACAGAATGCTGAATTCTCTTTCTTTGTCTAGTATACATTATGGGCTTTCTTTAACTAGAGAGCAAAGTGGTTCTTTGCTCCATCTCAAGAAGAGAAAAAGATCTTTTAAAAACTTGTAATATTGAACTTGCTGGACAAAATACAAGAAGACAACAAGGACATATTTAGTAGCAGTTCTATGACAAGCATAAAAAGGATGATGGCAGCTTTTGGTTTTGTATGTGAATTACTGGTTGTCTTGCCTATAGCAAACTAAGTCAAAATTAAAAGATGTGTAAAATTTTTTTGTGTATGTAGGTACAGAACTTTCTACATTCGTCTCGGAAAAGGAAGAAAACAAAAATTGCACATTTATTTTGTGACTGACCTCTTCCTTTGTCATGTGTATGAAGATGTCACTGTCAATAAAGTGTTGAAGCAACACATTAAGAGAAAAGCCATGTGAGTCTGCAGTGTAATATGTTGGTGTTTTTCTAGTCACAAAACTTTTATGTTTTTGAAGCATTAGCATATGTTTTTATAAGACATAAGATAGCAAACACATTACATTTTTTTTTTCATAATTCTCTGAGGATAATTACAGGAAAATGTAGAAAAAAGATTGGTATTCCATTCCACAAATACCAATTTGAGGCATGCTTATATTTTCATAATGGCATTCTTTATCTTTTTTCCCCTTATTTCCAAATTTCTAATTTCCTTAATTTCCAAATTTATGATGGCTGTTTTTCTGAAGACAGATGTTGGTACAGCAAGAGATAAAAAGCAGTCAATAGGCAGGAACTGTTTAATTGAAGTTTTTAATTGTATGTCAGTTCTACATGCAAAATGATAGTTATAAATGAATCTTTCTCTTTTTGAAACCTGGTACGTGAATGAATTTTAAAACAGTGAATAATGTGGGATACACATTCAAGTGACCTGTAATTTTAAAAAATTATAATGAAAAGACTG